CATTTATTTTTTATTTAAAGTGTAGCTTAGTATATTTAAAATAAAAATTTGGTACTCCTATTTTAGATACCTTCAAATTAATTTATTAAAAACTGGAAAAATTGATTATTTCTATTATTTTATTCATTATCATCATCCATATGTGCACAGTCCATTTAGGACTTAAGCTTGTTTTACGACACTCCCCTCTTCTTCTATATTTAATCTTCCAGTTATTAACATTTATACCTCGCAGATCTTAGCAAACAGTGTAACTCCCTCTCTTTTTCGGTTTTCTGTTTCTTTTCGCTATTCTGACTTCACTCTCGTGGATTCTGGCTGCTACTCTTGTATCCGTACAATGTATCCTATTCACTTCAGGCGATGATTTTTTATGTGCTTGAATATTGTGGTCCTAATATTTTTCTCATAATCCTTCTCTCAAATACCACCAGTTTGTTTACTTCGGCATAATTTAGTCCCCAGGTTTCACTCCTATAAATGACTACAGGCAATATAACTGTTTTATATAACAAAATTTTGGTTTCTCTCGATATATTTTTAGATACCAGATATTTTTTAGAGTTTTTTTACACTGTGAAAGGACATGTTTCCAGATTGCATTCTATAGTGGATATTCGACAGCCTTGTGTTATTCTTATTGCTGCTCCTAAAGCTATTCAAACCTTCAAATTCTTATGTGCCGATTTTAATAACTTCATTTCACGATATAATCATGTACTCTATTTTATTACTATGGATATGTATGTTATACCCATCCTTTTGAGTTCTAATTTTAATTTTTTTAAATACTTCCCTCATGCTACTTGTGTGATCAAAATTAATCATCAGAAGAACCGCACAATAGCGTCGATTGGTTTAAGTTTGTATTTCTAGAATATATCTCATAGACATTCGATCATTTGTTTTATAATTTATTTTATTAATAATAATTTTATAATATTCTATTAATTAAATATTGATTATTATTTACACAAATTTAATTAATTTTTAGAGGATAGTTCTCTTTTCTTCAGAACACATCTTATTTGAAAATGATGCAAATAAGTCAATTATTTTTCTTCACTATTATTCCAAAACCATACTATTTGATCCAAATCTTTACAAATCGATTTCGATACACTTACAAACCGAACAATATTTTAAAGCAGTTTAATATTCCACAAATGGAGTATTTATTAGTTCAATGAAAATCAGATCAAATTTACTAAAGTTTCATGCAATTTAAATCAAATTAAATTTGTAAACTTAACTACATAACATCCATTTAAAACCTGAATGTTCAGAGACCACGAACATAAATCTTTTCTTCCGTGTCCCACACTTTCCCGCAGTCTTTCAAAATGATTTCCCTCTTAAAATTAATTTTAAACCCAATTGAGTATAAAACGCAATTGCAATTACCATTCTAAGTAACTTAAAGGTAAACGTTTATCACTCAAGATGCATTTAACAGGTACGAGGTGTACATGTGAGGTGTCGATGTGCAGATACCAGTGCCTCCGAGGCGGAAGCGAATACATGCATAAACCCGTGCATACGTGCAATTCACTGCGGCAAGTCAAGGTACAACTAATTTGTATGATTTCATCGATCGATGCTGCATATCAAAATTATTCTACTTCGCTGTTACAAAAAGGAAATAAAACTGGAAACATAAAGGAAAAGAAAGAAAAAAATGGCGAATTCAATATATAAGTAAACAACAAAAATAAAGGATAACTACAAGAACAACCAGAGAAACGCAGGAAAATGCAATTTGTGTAAGCAGCACTTCACCTGTTGGTACATGTAAAGTGAATGACGAAGTAAGGGGAAAGCATCAAAAAACACGTAAGAAGAAAAATATGTAATTGTATAAACGTAGAAAACGTGAGCAGGCAGGAGGAATGGAAAATGGAAAACCTGAAGCGGAAAACGTAACAAATTTACTTGCTGTCAACGAGGTCGACATTATAATTTGATATCCTACAGTCTCCTGCTGTGTTCCGGAAGATAACAATTTTTAATGGCGCTGATGCTGTTATTGTAGTTTTCGTTTATTCTCTTTGTAGTGATAGTTGCCGTGTGCCGGGTTCCAGGTTTCGTGCACCCCATCTTCTGTTTCTTCTGGGTGGCGGATGGTGCGACAGATTTCTGTAGCTGCAGTTGCACAAGTAACAAATTCGTCGAAGTTAAATATCGATTACATTGACGATAATGGCCGTAATAGTGGCACAAATGTTGTCAACAACAAAATTGCTCGGTGCAAATATTTGTGTGATGCAAGACGAGGAAGAAGAAGAAGCAAAGAAAATCTTTTTTGTTTCAAAAGTTATAATAAGATAAAAAAAAATATAAAAAATTTCATGTTTTCGGTTTTAGTGGTATTAACTGTGATTTCTATTCATTTGTTTCTACATTAAAAGACTTTATCCTTTACTCTAGAATAAATGAGTAAAAATAATGATGCGAAGGGAAGACTGCATTTCATTTAAAATAAACTTGGCAACATAAACTTAAATGAGGAAATCAAAAAAGTTAATGTCAAACTTTAGTGTTTTAGTTTAGAACCTGAAGAATAAATTATACTCACATACACTATAAACTTAAATCATTTCTTCTTCTACACAAAAATTGAAATACTTTATGTACAAATAATATAAATTTATTTTTTTTTTTTTAATTTTAAAGGTAAACTTAAAACTCAACTGTCTTAAAAATAAAATGAATTTACTATTTAAATTTAATTTTTTTAAATCAGTTATGAAAACTATTTAACTAATAGAAAGATTTTAAAATATTAGTGCACAACAACATTATTATTCTTTTATTGAATTCTTTGTATAAATATACATCTGTTTCGAGTATTAATTGACAATACATACGCTAAGTACTTTGAACCTGCCAAATAACTTCACGGATTTTAACAGAACGAGCCAAACTTAGGTAAATTGGATAATAGAGTTGATAATGGAGTTAAGCTACCACCAGTCTCACGTTCCTTAGGTCAAGAAACAGAACAGAAAAGACATTAATTTCCGGATTCTCAGAGGACAATCCGCCCTTCGAATGAAAGCCAAATTTTCATCCGTTGAGGACCTCATAATATCAGGAGGAGACAGTAATTCTCTACCCACTGACTTCCACCTGGCCTAGATCAAGGCTGGAGAGAGATTGTGACTGGAAATCTTGTCTGCTTCTAAGCAGAGTCGGCAATCTATCTCTTCATACAGACCCATTTTGTTAAGGTGATAACGCAGATCGTGGTGATCCATTCAATATCCCACTGTAGGGACGAACCAGCTCTTTAACTCGACAGTTACCTGGAATGTCGCGCCAGCAGTCACTTTCTTTCAGTTAAAAACCATTTTTCAATCAGAGACCTAGTTGTAAGTCCTAGTTTTGAACTTACTAAACTATTTTATGAATTTGTTTATATCGACCAAAGCGTTTAGAACGATCAAAGCGTTTAAGGTGTCACGATCGGATTAAATTTAGTATACCAGTCAAAGTAGCATAGCAGTGGAGGCAAGTCGTAATTATTTATATAACTATTTTTTTTGATACCGATCAACCGGAAAAAAATGACTAAAAAATTGATTGTAGCACGAGCTATATGTGTTAATGCGCCGTCTTGTTGAAACCAAAAGCTCTGCAAATCATTTTCACGAGTAATGGACATTAAAAAGTCGGTTATAATAACCTGCCACACTGTTTCTTTTTAACAATAAAGAGGTGTTATTTCTATGTAATGTGAGGATTTGAGGATTTTCCAGCGCTTAAAAGCTCATAACTCATAATGATTGTATGCCAAATATCCTTCTGTTTTCCAACTGTTTGGTATTATTCTACAACAAAAATTTTTTAAGATTGGCGCCTAAAACAAGTTCTAAACAGTCACTTTCTACATTCCTGTCATAGTAACAGTATTATCAGATGATTTCAATCCTGTATATAAGTTATAGCAAGGAACAAGCTTTAAGTGTTATGTATCAAAGCTCCGAAACAGTTTGAAATGAAATTGGCAAATTATAGTGATTAAGGGGATGTTAGTCTTTAAACTAAGAGCAAAATCTATATTATTTGCGCTTCCTTCAATGACTTTTAAAATGTTAAAATAAATCTTTTAAGCCGAAATGAACTATTTGTCGTTAATTTGCTGAGTTGAAAACTCCCAAGAAAGATCCACTATACTAAATGATTTAGATGCCCGAATTTGGTGGTTATTACAAAAACATTAAAACATTTCAAAATAATCCTACTATATAACCATTAGGACAAATTCGAAATATTCGAGATTAAATAATATCTCAATCATTAGAAGTCAGATTAAAATCATTTTAGTTAATAAACTTGTAAACTTGTTAACATATTCCATATTATCTTTTCTAATCCAAATGGAGAGATTAAACAAGATCTCTATCATTAGAAGTCGGATTAAAATCATTTTAGTTAATAAACTTGTAAACTTGTTATTTAACCATTAAGACAAATTCGGGATATAACATATTCCATATTATCTATTCTGAACCAAATGTAGAGATTAAACAAGATCTCTATGATTAGAAGTCAGATTAAAATAATTTTAGTTAATAAACTTGTTATGGTATCCTTGAATTGAAACTAATATATCTATCTAAAACACATAATTTTTGTATTAAATTAATAAAAAAAAATTTAATATATATTACTTATTCCATTATAAACTCGTGTAGTAAATCCCACGAGTAATGGATATTGTTTCCATGCCATAGAATTTATGAAAACTTGTGCAAACCTCCGCAAAATATGTCAATTCCTAAAAGTATGAGTTTTACAAACTTTTATATGGAATCTAATAAATTACGTTTTTTATTATAAAGATTATTAATAAAATATTAAATATATTTTTTATACATTTATTTATTAGTGTTTTTCACTATTTCGTTGCTGCAACATGTGCTGCAAATTATATCTGGAGTTAAAATTTACGGCGCTGGTCTCGGATGAAAATTTATTGCCAGGAAAATGTTGTCGTAATGGTAAATTGTGCGAAATTATTACGAAAAAATATTATTGACAATCTTAATGGTTATAAAATGAATGTTTTATGTTCTCGTTTTTTCTTTCTATTTCACTATGAAAAAGTGGAAAACTTGGAAAAAGTGGAAAAGTGGAGAAGTGGAAAACGTAAATAAGAAGAAAATTCAATTTGCAATAAAATTAGTCAAAGTGATTTTTTATGCAGCATTTACATGGCTTTTATGTGTTGCCAGTTGTTAAGACTATTTTTACTATTATTTGGCTTAAAAGGACTTTGCGTTTATTACAACGGAGATGATTTATAATTATGGGATATTGCTCCTACTAATATTCAGTTAGTACAACACAACTGGGACCACAACAAAAATATAAGAAATTTTCTTTATTTATTAATTTAGTAAATATGATTCCCTTTGAAGTATAGAATTGAAAACATTTTATGGTATATTTAGCTAAATGTATATAAAATTAATAGATATATCAACTACAAAATTGAAAAATGTATTATACATTAAGATATATGTCGATAATTAAAGAGAAATTATATGCCGCTTGCGATTAGTAAATTTTGAATAACTTCCTCAATTGAGATTCACTTTTAAAGCAATTTTCATTTTCGATTGGTAAGTCTCGAGTGAAATTTATAGTACTCGAGATCAATTTATGACACTCTAGATATGTTGTCAGAGCAGCAAAATTAACCTGAAGTAAACAACTGTTTTATATGACTTGACAAATAAAGTATAATTTGATTCGTGCTATATACATACCATATATGAAAAATATAAATGTTTACTAATACTACTACAAAAATATTAGATTCCTCTACCAATGTTCGATTGGGCAATAAATATTGGCAGATCGAAAGAAAATCTAGATTAAGCCAAACGAAAAATAATTTACAAATTAAAAGAATTATTAATTACTTAAATATTATATAATTAATTGTTTAAATATAAATTGTTTAACATATATATATTGTCTTGACGGATTTAATTGATAAATGTTACTATTAAAAAACGAATAAACAAAATGGTTTTATTGAGTAAGAAAAGTCCTATCTTTCCTGCTGATCTGTAATAGTTTTTGTGTTATTTTTTTTAGTATTTATTATGTATAATGATCTTCTCGGTCTTTTCTCAACTAATTTATTTATAAAACTAAAATTCTCCACTTTCCAAACGTTAGTAGCGTTATTTATATACTGAACCTAGAAAGATTCAAGTGTGACTACTAGTAGGATCGCACTACTAAAGACTGAAATAAAACAATTGCAACTGTTTCTTTAATTATTTTACTATTTATATTTCGGACCACAACTTTTATTTAACATTTTGTGTTAAAAACCTTACCCAACAGGGTAATGCAACCTAAAGTGTGCTGACATTTTATTTAATGTTTGCTTTCCACCATGAAGAAAACTATATACAAACATACAGCTTTAATTATTATTATTATTATAATTGATATGGGTTATGGCACTGCGACCATCAGATCAAGAATATGTCTCCAAGCACCGTTGCTTTGATAAAGAGTATTTTACAGATTTAATTGACTCTTCCGTAAGAGTATACATTCTCAAGGCCCTATTCGGTATATGAGTCTTCATATTCTTTACTGAATCCGTTTGCATCCGTATATATGCCCCGTCTTGCAAGGTGGTATTTCAGTTTACAGTGACCTGTTAAAATTCCTGTGATGATTCTGAGGTCTTCTTTTGATTATTCCATACAATCCTGGTTTCAATAAGTAATTTGGATTGTTTTAGTCCTGGTAGTTCATTCCAGTTCTGGTTGTTCTACATTTTTATGAAAGAAAGTAGGGTGCTGTTTCTAATCCACGTCTGACCCCACCAGCGGCGTGGCTGCTCCTTTCTTGACTACTATCTCCGTATTCGTATTCAGTATGTCCCGGTATCTAGAAATTTGGTTCACCGAGCAGGTTTAACTTTACAAGGCAGTCTTGAAATCACCTGATGCGACTAACCATATTATATCACTTTGGACCCTAGAAAGTTCATTTGACTATGCCTACGAGTGCAATATTATGCTTATAAAACCCATACTATTCTTTTTAACAAATTCTTCTAGCTTCTGTTATCAACTACCATAGAAGTTTAAGTGGTTATTTACCTAAGTATAGAATTTAAGACAAAACAAGTTAAATATATTAAGTTTCTCATTTCTCTCAATCTGTACCGAAATCAACAACATTAGCAGTTCATTGCAGCTCTGTTTTATATTAGTTTTATTAATAGTATACTCAATTATATGACTAATAGATATAGTCAATAATTTCCAAATATATATTATTATTATTGTTAAGGGATGTGGTACTGCGACCGTCGGGCTTATTGTGCCTATGTATTAAAATTTGGTAAATAATTTTATAATTAATTTTTTTATCCAACAAATTTCTATTTATATATTTTTAATCAATTATTTAAATAATATACAACTTCTTGAATTACTAAAAGAAAACATATTTTATTATCAATACATCAACTTTAATCTATAGTCATCTTCAAAGAACTGGCAAATAATTTTATTCCCATAAAAAACTTTTTTTTAAACAATATAATTAATCTCTGTATTAAAAAAAAATTATTTTCACTTTATAATAAACTTTTATTCATATACAAAAATTCTAACCTAATATTTTCATTTTTTCCATTTTCAGTTAAATTTTTGCGAGAAGTTACGCCATACTTTCGTAAGGCCAGCATTATATCCGAAGTGGGTTGGGAACTGCAACGTGCATTTCTATGTCCTTTGGGTCCGGGAGCACCAACGTCACCGCCTGCACCAAAAACTACACCCAGAGCCGATACGCGTTACATACCGTTGCAGTTGACACATTTGGCGCGAAATTTGAAATACATTGATCCGGGTAAGCACAGAAATTAATTAACTAGAGATATGCATATAGCAACGACAGAAAAAAAATTTTGAAAAATAAAATCAAACACATTTCGCAAAAGCCTTCACTCACCATCACCATCACCAACAACAAAAATAAATGATTTTTTCATTAAAGCGCGTAAAAGTTTGTCTCACACTTACACGCAGACACAATACTCTAGAACTAAGCGAAACGAAACGAAACGAAAATTTTGTGCTTAAATTTCAATAGAAATTATCTGAATTCCCAATGAATTGCAATCAGTGTAAAGCTTGTCACTCACAAACTCACACACTCACACATATAACCGAACACCACTGACAGCGAACTTCTATGCACACATACTAAACTTAACTGGAACTGAAACTGAAACTGACAAACAATGACGGCGTTGCCATCACTGCATTTTATGCAAAAGCATATGCTGCGTATTTTTGTACTTTTGCAATTTGTTGCTTATCTTTACGCCATGTTGATTTTATGCTGGTTATGAAAGCTAGCAGCAGCAGAGCGACGCAGCAGAGTACTCATATGGCAATAAACGCAACAACACACATTACACACACATACAAATACACAATTTCAATAATATAACGTGTAACATGTCGTTATGGTCTCGGCAGCGTTTACTTGTTGTTATGAGTTGTTATTGTCATTTTGTAGTCGTTATTATTGCTTTTACTTTTGCTTTTGTTGTTGCTGTTATCATTATTGTTGTTGTTTTCGTTTTTGTAAGCTTTAAACGTTATGTTGTCGTTATTGCAATTTGCAATTGTTTTTGATATTCCTGTGCCAACACAGACAAATAAATAATCGAAATTTATTGATACTTTCGATATTTGATTTTGTTCCGGTTTGAGTGTCAGAACATCTGATTTTAAGTAAATAGCAGCGGGTGGGAGAGGAGCGTATTTTGTTTGGTGAAAAAGCAAAAATAATCCATTGTGAAATAATTTGAAGAAGGCAAAAACGATTTTTGTGGATTTTAAAATTTAATATTTTATGCAAATGTAAAATACACTGAAATATTTTGTTTGTCAATGCGAACTTTGGTTCTCATTCATTTTTTCCTATTGTGAAAAATCTCTGAATTTATAGGAAACACAATAGCAATAGATCAGTGCTGTGAGATACTAGAAGAATGGCTTTGAAATTCGATATTTTATTTTTCAATTCTCGTTCAAAATATTTCTAAATAAATATTTGAAATTTTTATTCTATTAGAGAGACATGTAGATGGAGGTGGCTATTGACTTTCTTAGTTGGGAGTTAACACACTAAACCAAATTGTTCCAATGTGATATCACGTAATTCTAATAGGATCCCTAAATCATTCAACCCCGCTGGGTCATTCTGTTGGTGTAATGAATCTCAGTGGTTGCCTAACACATGAGATGTTCTCTTTACTTGGCTTTTTTCTATTTTTGAGTTAACTGTTCAAAACTTTTTTTGGGTTTCAGAAGCCTTACTTTTTTTATTTTATTTTTATCAATTTCATTTAATATTTATTTGTTTAAAAGACAACAACAAAATTTAATAAGAATTTTGTGTCCTAATAATATTATATACTTCACAATTACATACATATTTAACGAGTTCTTTATTCAACACTTAGTAAAACAGCATAATATTTATTTATTTTGTAAAACACCAGAAAAACCTAGGTGAAATTTAATTTTATAATTTTTTTTGTATTTGGATCTTACCCTATACCCTATATAGTACCACACTTTCCACATAAAAATAAATATTGCTATAATTTAATAAAATATATTATTATAAGAAATATGCCTATCAGAATAATATTCATATGCCTCTGGAGTATTAAATGCATAGTAGTTTATTTTAATTAATTGTGACTAATTATAGGTGGATTACTTAATTACTACGTATCACCTAGCAGTAAACTAGAGATATCTTTGTTCTAATTTAACACTTAATCTTAGTAAAACAAGACCTTTTAATTTCAAGACGTATTGATTTTATTTTTAATTTATTTTTGCGTGTACACTATTCAAGAGCAATCACCACTGCTTATAATGCTGTCTTCTTCTTCTTTCGTACTCTTCTTTTTCTTTAATTCTTTCTATGCTGCAGTGTACTTACTTGACATACGTATAAGTATTTTACCTCTTACCCCGTAAACAATTTTTTTTTTATTTTATTTTTTCTACGATAGCTAGAAAACATCGACAGTCTCAGTGTGTAACTTTCACTCACTAAAACCACCTCTTAGGAATGTGACTTTAACCCACTAAAACCATCTTAGTTCTTAGGAATGATACTTTCATCCACAGAAACCACCTTTTCAAAATGAGACTTCAACTCAATAAAATCAATTCTTACGAATGAGACTTCAATTCACTAAAACTACCTCTCAGGAATGAGATATCAACTCACTAAAATCACCTTTTAGGAAGAAATGGAAAAATTTCTACTACTAACACGGAGGCCGCGTGCTAAACGTTATGTCAGTAATTAGGGGAACTTTGTAATTGAGACTGAGTACATAGAATTGTAATTTTATGCAAACCTGAAAGCATGGGCGTGGTATAAGGGAAAGGAAGGTACATCTATATGATGAGGTTAGGCTAATCTACACAATAGCGAGGATTATGTTAATTGTAGACTCTGTGACCACGATTACAAAAGATGCAATTATAGATTGGATGACAAATAAAACCATCTAAAAGCCAAATCACAAGATCAATTACACTTGAAATGCATGACTAACAAGAAGTCGATGCGAAAAGGTGCTGAGGTTTTAAAGGTCAGGAGATGTGTTATACAACATGAGAGATTACCAACAGGGCGACAGTAAGAAAGTACTCATAATTGGCCCTTAACCGAGCTTACTTGTATACGGCGGGTTTAAAAAACTTCTGGCTGTCAGGCTTGCGGTTGCAGTTGAACCGTAGCAAGGAAATTTGACAATTGTATCATGTTTATGCGGTCGTCTAACCGGCGTTTTATCTCTAATTAACTAAATCCTTACCTTGGGACAGTTATTAATGAAAAATTTATCTTAATCCCTTCAACATTACTCTCGTAGCTCAAAACCAAAATTACTCTAAAGATTCTACACCCCACCCATTGAGATAGAGTTCGAGAATATCCGCAATCTACTTACTATCAAGCTTCTTTTAACTTAGGAAAAATTCTTTTTAAAGAAATTTTGTAAGAAACTATTTTCTGATCTTTGGGTGCTGTTTACTGACCATTTTTAGTACGGTTAGTATTTCTGTAAACGTCTACTAAAGAAATTTTTCATGAAATTTTTAATGCTGATGTTTTGACTCTCTAATTTAAAACAACTCTATATATACTCTATTATCATATATGACTTTTTTTTTTTATAAATACCATTGTAAGAATGAAAAGAGGTGTATTAAACTACCACTTGACATATGCCTACAGGCATCAGCATTCTGGGGTTCAACAGGTTTCTTAACACGCATATAAATTCCTTTCGTGAATTCTAAGGCAAATTATAGAGAATAACTAAATCATAAAATATATTTTTTGAAGAAGAGCTATATCAGTAATTCTTTCGAAATAAAAACTAAATAAAATTCTATATATGTGTACACAATATATAATATATATAAAATTTAAAATTCTTAAAAAAACTCAGACATATATATACTACGGTATATTGTGTACTTTGATTTCATGAAGAAAACAATGGGATGGGGCTTCCTATGGTCTATTTATGGCTTAACAGTTTCAGATATTGTTCTTCAAATGATGGAGTGTTTTTTTTTCATTTATGGGAAAAGATATATAGCTTCTTTTAACTTGCATTCTGTACTACAACGTCTGATTTTTTTTTTATTTTAAATTTGAAAATAATTCTTATAAAAAAATTAGATTTTGTTTTCTGTTTAGTAAAATTTAAAGTAATTCTACACAATATTCATTAAATTACACAAACGCGTAACATTTGAGTCGTAAAGAAGTTTTCAAATAAAACTCCTTTGATCTGCATTCAGAACAACTCAGTACTCTCAATAATAGATACGATATTTTCAGCGGCATTGCACAACTGCTCATAAGTGTGCATATACATTGAGTCTCGAAACGCTTTTCTATGTTTCATGGTCTTAAGACAAAACTCTTCAACTTCAATTTCATCAAGTTCTCCAAATTCAAACATTTTGAGAAAAGATAACATATCATTTTTCTTCTGCTGTTTTTTTTGCTCATCTTGATCTTCTTCTTCCTCCTCCTCTTCTTCTTCTTCAGCCATCGCTTCTAATTTACTGTAGAAACTTTGTAACTCAGCTTTTAGGAAAGACTCTTCAATTTTTAATGTCATCTCTTCCCAATCATCAATTGTACCTGATATTAATCCACGTACAAAAAGGAAACGCGTACGATCGCGATCTGGATTTTCTATCAATTTCGTTTCTACATCTATTGGCTTTCCTTTCATCTCTTCTAATATACTTAGCATCTCCTCAAAGACATTCGCACGATCAACAGCTCTTTCAAGGCGCAGTATCATTGATTTTAAAGTATCTACCTTTAAATCCCACTCAGGTTCAACAGGTTTCTTAACACGCATATAAATTCCTTTAAGAGAAGTTAAATCTTGCATACGTTCGCAGGCAAAGCCAAGATTGTAGTATTCAAAAAGCTCAGCTTCAGTGAGGGTACGTTTATATGGGCAATGTGCTTCGATTGGTTCAATTAACGGTGTTATTGAAGCCAATCTAGCTGTTACCTTATTTAACATATCCAAATTACTATTTAATAATATCATTTGTTCTTCTTCATCTAATTTGCTGGCGTACTCTTTTGATGGTTTGCAAACACCATTCAATTTTATGACAATAGCATCAACCTTACGACAGAAGAATTGCGGATCTATTTTTATCACCCACTTTTCTTTCGTTATGTCTACTACACGTGGCTGAAATTTCACTATAACGTCTCGAGTTTCACCTGAAGCTAGCCGAAATGGTCTTTTATCAAAAAGAAACTCATCGGATGTACTCATAAGTAAAGTTTTACACTTGAAAAAATAACGACGCTGCAATAACTCAAAACTAACTACTTTCTTACCGATATTCTGCAACTGAATTACTCGTTTTCTCACTTCCTCAAATGGAGCACAAGTAAAATTCATTTTTACTTCCATTGATTTCGAGGAACGTTTAAAGATCTCGTTAAATAATTGACCATTTATTTTAAGGCCATACTCTGGAGGCGTTTCAATTGTAACCTCGCGAATATCAGGTGTAGACTCTGCTGAAGAATCTGGGGTGTCACTTGAAATTTCCAACATTGATTCTGAGCCAATTAATTCAATTTCCGAATCATGTTCAAGTTTCTCTTGCATAAGTTCCTTTCTGATTCCCTCACCTTGTATTTGAATCTCATCAATATTTGGAAAAAACTCTACGACTCGTTTTATATCCTTTTTCTTTCGTTCAATCGTTTTATCAAGTTCTTTTGATTGTAACCACTCCCTCATTCGTTTCTTTTCATTCGAGGTTTGTTTAGAGACTAATTCCTTTTTTATTATTTGTGGTAGACCAGAAATTTCAATTTTTGTTGAACCAATACGTTCAGCTCTTGGCCATGTTTCAGTTAATTCTGGTATATGTTGACATGTATCTAGTTTTTCGTACTCTTGCCATTTCATTGTTTTCCGAGCCCTTAGTGTTAATGGATTAAGACGTTCTGCATAGTCAAGTACACGTTTTACAGTTTGTTTATCACGTTCATCTGCATTCGTGGCTCGATGTAAAAGCACACCACTCTCTGTCTTTCCAATTTTGGTTCGAATAAGATGCGCAACTTTATTTCGTTCAGTTAAGTGATGTCTCCAATTTCTTAAGCGTGGATCACTCTGCGGTGATTTAACTCTTAACTCAATACTGGAACATGCCGAATCAGATAGGGTGTCTTGTAAACCCTTTTCCTCATCAAACATTCTATCGACGATCTCTTCAATAACCCTGCGGCTGTCATGTTTCTGTACCTCAAGAGAACCTTGTGATGTGATTGATGGCGAAAACAAATTGCTTCCTGCCGAACCTGCATATTTTTGTTGCCTTGATTTTTTGGAGATTTTCCTCGAGCTCCTCCTTTTGCTTTTACGTCGGTTTTCCATTTTTGTTCAGATTTACCAATTTACAAAATAAAGAATTCCAATCAATTTTGGTTTATTTCTAAAATATGTGAAAATTTTCATATAGAATTTTTAGTAAAAATTCTTTAAAAGTGTTTTTGATTTGACATTTATAAAAGATGATTTCATTTTTCTCAAAAGAAAAAAAAACAAAATCAGAAATTAGTTATTAATATTTATAAAATATATATGTTCCATGAAAAAACTTCTTTCGAAAAAGAAAAGAGATAGTGAAGAAATTTTTTAAATACGAAATACGGCTGTTTTTTAAATGTTTTAGACAACTATTTAATTAATCTTACATATTAATATTATTTTTAAGACTGTGCCATGAAAAGAGTCTTCTAAAGTAGTGGTGCCAAACTTCGTTACTTTTGCGTATTTGTAACTACCCGTTACTTTTCGAGTATGTATTCGTTACTCAGTATTCGTTACTGCGCTTTCGTTACTGCGCTTTCGTTACTGCGTTTTCGTTACTTCGCTTTCGTTACTGTGTAGTCGTTACTAAAGTTTGCTTTTTTTCGGCAATAAAAGAAATTTTTAAAAGCATATATATTTATTATAATAAATTATACATTTAATATATTAGAATTATTATTTTATTGAATTGTTTGATCCGCATATTTTGCATTTAGCTTTTCACGTCCTACTGGTTCAAATGAATCCAAATTTCACTTTTTTATATTAATATTTTTAAACATTTTTAATGAATTTGATAGCGAAGAAAAATTTTGTTAAAAATAAAGTAATTATTATTATATCGCAAAAACAATTGCTTAAAAGTAATCGTTACTAAGTACTTGAAAGAGTAGTTATAATAAATATTACTCATTGGTAAAATGAGTAAAAGTAACGAATACAATAAAAAGTTTGTATTCGTTACTCAGGTATTTCTTGAGTAACGAATACAAAGTAACGGATAGTTACATTTTTGGCACTACTATTCTAAAGTTTGAACTGGGATCTCGATCACAAATACTGCATATACGACCTAATTTGCTTTACTTAAATGTAGGTTTTTATTATGGCGTACACTTTCTATAAATTACGCATAAACCACAGCTATAACAAATAAATTAATTATTGTAAATTTTTGTAATTTTTGTGTCAAAACTATGTTTCGCAGAAGAAATTTGTACTCATTTTGTCTAAATTGCTTGCATTAGGCTGGGAAGCGTCACATGGATATATAATATATACACTTCAGTTGAACCGTACAAGATTAATCACGAAATTTGAGATTGGCAGCGGTCACAGTTGCCAATACCATTACTTGAGATGAAAAATTACTTCGGGTGGTCACACGTAGTCTCAAATGGCAGTGAATAGCAGTGCGCTCAGTAAAATAAACATGATCATTTTAGACTTTATGAACTGCTCAACGGGGAAATTTTTCTAATCAGAGAACACAATGTTTGGAAATTCTCCAAGCGTAACAACTTCTTTGCTCTTTTGAATCCAACTTTTTGATACTTTGGTGTAAGATCTTGAGGCTTTTGTAACGTATGTTTTACCTTGAGCTTATGTACGTTGGATGCTTCGCTGAGATATTTTGAGTTCTTTTACCATTTGATTACCACTACAACGTGATTTACAATCAAGCCGAGCCTTCACTATTCAAACCATTTCAGGTGATGTTGCTCTTTTTTTTCGTCCACCACCATCGCGTTTGGTAACGTTCCTTGTACTATTATAACAATTTATGGTACGATACACACATTTTGTTCACTTTGAGGTGTTTGAGCTCATAAACAATGGCTGATAGTAAACAGCTGTCATTCGTATGGCTTTCACGTAGTTGGTAATATCAGTTTGACAGATATACTCTTCTATAATTGGTAACACTTCAATCGATTAACTGACTAATATACTATACTGATATAGCTCCGTGAAACAAATTAAAAGTCAAATAACAATTTGGTATAGATTACATGATATAACTTGTCATAATTTGTTAGCATAACTTGTTTAAAGTCAGAATAATGTTTTATTATTCAGTAATATCAACACTGAGTGTTAAAATCGTTGACCCATTTATAAGAGCGAGTTTCTCTTTTAGGCTTCATAGCAACAGTCCCTATCATTGTCAACTTACATACAATTTTTATGCATATGCTACAGCATATTTCCTACTGAAATATCATAGATTCTACTAAAATACAAAAATAAGAATATGACAAGTCTTGAAGTGACCGTCCATCCCACCCCAGTAAAACCAAAAATGTGATGACATATTTACGAGCATGTACTTCTATTGCAATAAATAGTGGCAGATACAATTACAAGCCAACAGATACTTTGTGCTCTTCTTTTTTTGAGCATCTTTCAACTTAGAAAAGCACTGTTTCTATAATTAATCAATCTTGATTTCAAATCTTTTAATATTTTTAATTAAATCAAGACCTTTTTATACGAAGTATTACTCGCATAGTATGAACAGAAAATGAAAAAATTACTAAGTTATAAAACTGTGAAAGAAGTGAGAAAATGCTGAGTCATTGACTATCCAGTGACGAATTGTTTAAACCCTTAAATGTCAATAATTATATATAATTGCAAAAATTGAGTCATGTTTCTTTTTTGGCGTTCAACTTATTAAGTTATGTTAAGTTGTTGAACATATTCGCGGAACAATATGACAAAATATGATTTTCCATATAAACTCTTTCAACTTCAATACACTTATGTATTCTAACATTTGTACCATTTATGGATCTCATCTCTGTAGCGAAACTCTGCAAAATACTACTCAATGGCGGATATTATCTATTTATTTGATGAAAACACATTTCTAAGTAAAGAGTTTTGAGGTGAAAGAATTCCAGCGGTCAGAGGAAGTTAAATCTTCTATGGTAAACAGTCTGATTTTTCTTCTAAGTTTGTGGTTTAGTACAATGATTTGAGTGATGATTTCTTTTACTCTCTGAATATTTTAGTGAAAAATAATTTTTTTCTTCCAGAGTCGAACCTTTTTCAATGGATTATATACAATTGATTCTACATGTAATAATAATTTCTATTTTTTGTTTTACTAGTTTAGAAGTAATCTACCAACACAATTAATTTTGTTTTTAAAAAACCTAACGCTATTACGCTTAAAGCTAATTTTTGGATACAAGTTAGCTTTGGAATAGAACTTTACGCTATTTATTATCTTTATGTTTTGCTTTAAAATGAAGCTGACAGATTTCAAACTAATTCATAGTAATAAAATGACACACAAAATACTTTTTATCTTTGCTAGAAGACTCTGAATATTACTGACAATGTATTTTGGTAGCGTTCTTAATGAATGCATGAAATACTGGGTACACAACTTTTTAGAATTCAATACTCGATATAGAATATTGCTCACAAAGCAGAATATATTTAAAGTCTCTACATGATCTGTTAATCAATAATATCCAAAAATTTCTGTTCTATTATCCTGAACTGAAGCCTTATTTATTTCATCATTTGTTCTGTATTTTAAGTCATTGAAAAACTCCCTCATTAAATTTGAATTATGATCCCCATCCAATCCCCTCTCCTTGTATTTGAATCTCATCAATATTTGGAAAAAACTCTATGACTCGTTTTATATCCTTTTTCTTTCGTTCAATCGTTTTATCAAGTTCTTTCGAATGTAACCACCCATTCATTCGTTTCTTTTTATTCGAGGTTTGCTTGGAGACTAACTCCTTTTTTATCATATGTGGTAGACCAGAAATTTCAATTTTTGTTGAACCAATACGTTCAGCTCTTGGCCATGTTTCAGTTAGTTCTGGTATATGTTGACATGTATCTAGTTTTTCGTACTCTTGCCATTTCATTGTTTTCCGAGCCCTTAGTTTTAATGGATTAAGACGTTCTGCATAGTCAAGTACACGTTTTACAGTTTGTTTATCACGTTCGTCTGCATTCGTGGCTCGATGTAAAAGCACACCACTCTCTGTCTTTCCAGTTTTTGCACGAATAGCCTGCGCAACTTTATTTCGTTCTGCTAAGTGATGTCTCCAATTTCTTAAGCGTAGATCACTCTGCGGTGATTTAACTCTTAGCTCGACACTGGAACATGACGAATCTGATAGGGAATCTTGTAAACCTTTTTCCTCATCAAACATTCTATCGACGATCTCTTCAATAAGCTTGCGGTTGTCATGTTTCTGTACCTCAAGAGAACCTTGTGATGTGATTGATGGCGAAAATAAATTGATTTTTGTTGAGCTTAAACGGTTTGTTTGTGCCTTGTAAATTTGTTTTGGCTCTATTGACGCCATCTTTTCCCTTTTTCTCCGCATTTTCATCTGCGATTAAATAGGGAGACTTGATGATAGAAAATTACTAGAAATTTTGATTTGGTTAGAAAATGCTTAAAAATTTTATGCAATTAATAAAAAAAAAATTTATTTTGACATTTCATAAAGAAATAAGATTTGATTTCAATAAACTTATATACCATGTAAGCTATTATTTTAAATTATAAAACTTCTCAGACGTGCATGTCTACTTTTTGTAGTGATTTGTATTCAATATATATTATTGTGTAAGATGTGGTTTTAAATTCCTAAATCATTTATTTTTTTTTTCATATATTCAACTTCAAATCTGCAAAAATATCTATCTTTCTGATAAACTATGGTGGTCTTCGCTGCTTTATTATTTTATGTTAAACCATTCAGTAACTCTCTGTGTAAAATCTGCGTATATATACGCACTATATATATACTATATATAGTAAAATAATATACTATAAAAATAAATAAAAAAAGATAAAAACGGTATGTTAAGTACGCCAAAATTTTTGTAACTCATTTAAGAAAACGTCGCAAACCTTATAAAGTATATATATTCTTGATCAACTCAATGACCTAAGTTCACTTAATACTATTCTTCTGCTTGTTTTATAAACCATATAGGCTAGCCACTTTAATAGTAGCCAGTTAAATAGCCAGTTATAGCCAGTTTTTGAGCTACTTGAATGAAACTTATATAGATTTTACACATATTTTTCGGAAGAAGATACTGATTATTTCTCGGTTTTGTCAAAATCGGACAACTATATTTCTCTGTCTGTCACGCAAATTAAATCTTATATGAGTTTTCTACGTTTTAAATAGATATATTCGAATGAGATTTTCATAGAATATACTTGAACTTACATGACATTTTAGAATATTCCAGATTTCGTTCAGATCGGTTTAGACCTGAGCCGAATTGGACACAGGTTTTTGTTTGAAAAACTTTTTTAATTCAAAATTTTATCAAATTTTAAACTTTCACGTGAATCTAGTACCCAATGTAATGTCTAAGTATTTTGTACTATTTTTTTAGTTATTATATAGGTCATTTAATATTGTTTTTCTTGGACATTGTTTGTTCTTTCTGGAGACAAAAAATTGCGAATTGTTTTTTGAACATGGATTTAATCATACATTTTTTTGTAATTTTGAGTTAATTACAATATTTCGGAAATTAAATACTATGCTAGCTCCTCTGTTATGACAGCGCATTATGTTAGTCTCATCTACATATAACTCCATCGTCTTGTAGCGTTGTTTTGTGATGTCTACATTGTATACATTCTACACAACAGGATATAAGGTGAGCCTTGTAGTAATATAACCTTCAAAACTCTTATCATCGAAAGATGATTTCCATCTGTAGTCAAATTTTCAGTTTTTCGGAAAATTTTATATTATTTTGAAAGGTTTCTGTAGATTTCCGATTGCTACAATAAAGCTTAATGGTTATTATTATTATTACTATTATTGACATGTGATGTGGCACTATTGTACATTCCTTCTGTGTTTAGAGTAAGTGTCGTAGCCCTGTTGCGTCAATAAAAAGTAGAATAGAATCTACTTTACAAAACTTTATTGCCTTTTCCGTAAGGGTATACATTCCCAAGAGTCTATTCCGTACGTGCATTATCGTAAGGCATTCTAATAACAAATGTATAGCTGACTCTTAAATATCTTCGCAAAATCTACAGTTTGCATTCATATACAAACTGTATACAAACGTATTCCGTACCCAGTCTCATAAGGTGGTGTTTTAGTTTACAGTGCCCTGTTAAGATTCCTGGAAAGATTCTTGTTAAGATTCTTGTAATGATTCTTAGTTCTTCTTTGATAGGTCCATATAATTCTTGTATCTCCTATTTTTATATGTATCAATAAGTGATTTGGATTGTAGTAATGCTGGTATATTAAGTGTTATGCTTTAACCAAAATTTTTTCGATTTCAAAACAAAGTTTACTATAGCAGTTGGCGTTTATTATAGTTATTGATCTGGATTAATGAAGTTCTCTTCTACAATATCGCATTAATCTATAGAAATTTGATTTCCTTTCACTGTTTCTTTATGGTATTACTTTTTCTGTAGTTTAATTTGAGAAATTTTTCTTCCTATTTAATTTAAAATTTTTCTTCCTAATTTTTCTTTCTATTTAATATTCATTATTTTTACCTAAACTTTTACCAAATGAGAGGATTTTGAAAAAAAAAAACGTATGAGAAACTTATGATGATTTTCTATTTTAATCATACTTTTTGGAAATAAAATTTCTAATATTTTTTTACCATTCAATGATGCTGTAATCATTGTTAATTTCATGAATATTTGCTAAGTTTAAAAGTGAGTTTTCTGCTTCATCTGAGAGCAAAATAGAAATGTTGGAAATTGAAAGCAAGTCGTACCGAAAGAAAAACTCTTAATTAAATTTTTCATTTGCGTGCATTTTAATTCGTTTCATGCAAATTTCATATTTGAAAAAATAAATGAAACTGCAATAAACCACGAGGAACCACAGAGAAACGCTCTTTTAGAGTAGAAATTTCACTTCATTTAATTGAAAACAACACAAAAAACTTTTCGCAAATAAAAATAAGCACGAAAACAAAGGCGAATGCAATCTCATTTGTATTTAAATGAAGCGAAATTAAATTAAATATGTGCGGCTGCTGTGGTGCCTGCGAATGAATCTGCGTAATGCAGGGGCTCTGAGGTTGTTACTATAGAAGTGCCTCGTTCCTCATGCGAACGTAGAAGCAGATTATAAAGTTAATAAGTTTGTCAGTAATTTTTTTTCTTTGAGCATTGGTGTTAGCATCGTTGATGTGGCAACTCTTTCATTTCACTTAACGAGAAATATTAACTTAATTTGTGAAATGATAAAAGGAAATTGATTTTACTTTTTTCTTTTAAAACAAAATACAAAACAAAAAAAGTTTCTTTCCTTTTAACAGAAGTAAAGTTAATTATTATTAAAATGAAATAATTAAGCTCTTTGTGTCAAACTCTTGATATCATATAATTAACGTGGGCTGACTGATTATAACAGAAAATATTCACTTGTCTAATAATGACAAATATCACAGAAATTTAGATTTAAAAAGTTCTGGTACTTTTAATAACAATGTTGACATCCTATTATACATAACTTTTAAATGATTAGAAATAGCAATTTTGAATTAAAAATCATTCAATTAGCATAATATTTTACAGTAACGCATTTTACATAAACTTCTGTGCCCGTCATAGCAGTTTTACGCTTTCGTTTGGTCATGACAATGAGAACATGTTATGCATACAGTCAAATCATAAATTTAAATTTCATGATTGTTTGGTTGCAGTAATAATTCAGCAGATATCTACTCACTTTACTGAATTAAGTAAACAAATACTAAATCCTTATCCTTCCCATTGAACTCAGTTAATTTAACAGATCTTTGGTCCTTACCAAAGAAAACTTGTTTAACCAAAAAGTAGACATTTACGGAAAGAATGCTCTGTTTTGCTTTGTAATATCTACGATGTATACATTGAACAGAACAGGATTTAAAGGTGAGCCTTGTAGTATTTTAACCTTTAGAGCTCTTAACAGGAAAAGATAATTTTTCCATCTGTAGTGAAATTCTTAGTTTTGCAGAAACTTTTTTATTATATAGAATAGTTTCTGCGGATTCCCGATTGTTACAATAAGGCTTAAGGGTTTTGCTTTAACCAAAATTTTTTTTTGATGTCAAACGAAATAGTTTACCTACAGTATTTGGCTTATATTATAATTATTGAATCTAAGAGATTTTGATTTTCTTTTATAATCAACGCGGTATCTACGTGTAAACCACCTGAAGGTGGCACAACAGTTAATATGCAGTGTAGAATATCTAAAGCAATGGGCATGCTAGCTTGCAAAATCAATAACTACATTTATGTTTTAATAATTGTACATCAAATCTCAAACTATTGTATGGATTTTGTAATTACGATAGTGTAGACGTACTGGTTTAAACCCGATATACAGTAACAAGCAAACTACACAAGTTTTCGCCATCTACTAAACAAACAACTAAAAAAAATTTATTTGGATTTGTCAATATTGATTCGTAGAAAATTATTTGGAAATGAGATATTTGACACACACATACGCTATAAATATTATTTGATATAACACATTCCGCAGGATAGAGCTTCGAGGAACTTCATATATTAGCAATAAACTCGCACAAGTACAGATTTTGCGTTAGTTGCATGATGGTATATATAGTGTGCTCTTTAACACACTATATGTACTATATACACCATATAATATAACACACTATAATACTCTATAAAGAGTAAAGTATTAGACTACTTTTTAGCTGCAGATTGCTATAGAGTATATATGTGAGCAACTTGTTAAAAATGACTGAATCATTTATAACAAAATCACACAATAGACTTTTGTGTAAGTTTGCTTATAACCGCTATGATTTCAATTAAAACTAAATACATATATATATGTGCGTATCTTAGTTACATAAACCATTGAATATGCTCAAGCTTAAACACTCTTTGGCCCCACCAACAGCGAGATATGTAAACTCATTCATTCCAAAATTCTGACATATCTGTCAAAAAAAAAAAAATAAAAAATTTTTTTTTCAGATTAAAAATTTTTAAAAATATATCGCGAAAATTGGCTTTTTGAGCTGAAACTGAACAAGTGGTCCACTCAGTAAGAGTCGCAAATGATTTCTACATCTATTTTCTAACATAAAATCCATCTAAACTTCATATTTTATTGCAAAAATATTCCGCGCTCTATTGCTTCATGCAGAAGTTTTTGCATAAAAATTTCAAGCAAATTTTTGAGTTTATTTGTCTGGCAGCACTTCTAGCTCTCGGATTTACGCAGGTCTCATGATAATCCCTTTTTTTTTACATTACAGAAAATCGTTGTTTGGAATTACATTCTCCGGATGGTGTTCATTCATGTATTTTGCGTGCGTCTGATTCGGCGGAAGCGTTAATCTGGTTTAATGCGCTGCACTCGGCCATGTGCACAACCACCCAACGTGCGCTGACTGAAGCTAATCGAGCGTTGATGAATGTGATTGGAGAATTAAAGCATATTGGCTGGTTAAGTCGGCGTTTGAGCGGTAGTGCAGCTGGTAGCAGTAGTGGTGGTGGCTGTGGCGGTAGTGGCGGCAGCGGCGCTAGTGGTGGAGCCGGTGATGTGGTAAGTATAATCCAAGCCTTTACTAATTGTTTTGTCTCATAAAAAAATTTTGCAGCCAAGTGGGCGTTCGAGCTCAGAGAGTTCAGATGAAAATGATAAATGGCAGCCAATTTTTGTTGCAGTCACCGAAAGAGAATTTAGGTAAGTAATTCGCTTACAGCTCCTTAATATGACCTGATTAGGTAACTAAATTCATAATTATGCCAAATAAAGGTGAACACATAATTTTTCCTAACACACCAAAAACTAAAGACTTCGATTTTAGCAATTTTATTAATAATAAGAAAATTTTTCACTCAACTGTCACTTGATAAATTTTCGAAAATAAGCTAAATAGGCTTAGATTTTTTGAAAAAATTGATACCCCAAATATATTTTAATATATTTTCATTGTATATTTTGTAGACGTTCAGTCAACTTCAAATTTGTTCGTGTGAAGTATTTCAAATATTTTGAAACTTTTTTAAGTTTTTGGCTGTAAAATTCTAAGTTTTTTTTTCAAAATCTATTTGTGATTTTTTTTTTTGCGACAAAATGCGTGAAGTCTTATCTTTACATATTGGCCAAGCCGGTTGCCAAATCGGCAGTGCCTGCTGGGAGCTTTACTGCCTGGAACATGCTATTCAACCGGACGGAATGATACCATCTGACAAGAGTGCTGCCTGTGATGAATCTTTTGGTACATTTTTTAATCACACTTCAGCTGGTAAGTATATTCCTCGTGCCATTTTTATTGACTTAGAGCCGAGCGTCATCGATGAGGTGCGTACTGGTACTTACAAACAATTATTCCACCCTGAACAACTTATAAATGGCAAGGAGGATGCTGCTAATAATTACGGACGTGGTCATTACACTGTCGGTAAGGAGATAATAGAACAGGTACTTGATCGCATACGGAAGATGGCTGATCATTGCTGTGGCTTACAAGGGTTCTTGATGTTCCATTCTTTTGGTGGTGGTACTGGATCAGGTTTCACTTCCTTATTAATGGAACGGCTTTCCATTGATTATGGTAAGAAATCGAAGCTCGAGTTTGCTGTGTATCCTGCACCTCAAATCTCCACCGCTGTTGTGGAACCATACAATTCAATACTGACTACTCATACCACGCTGGAGCATTCCGATTGCGCTTTCATGGTAGACAATGAGGCAATATACGATATTTGTCGGCGTAACTTGGATATTGGTCGTCCTACGTATACAAATCTTAACCGTCTCATTGGGCAAATTGTGTCATCTATCACAGCTTCATTGCGTTTCGATGGTGCGCTCAATGTCGACTTAACTGAATTTCAAACCAATCTTGTACCATATCCTCGTATTCATTTTCCGCTGGCTACATACGCTCCAGTAGTGTCATCGGATAAAGCGTACCATGATCAGGGAAGCGTAGCTGAGATAACAAATGCATGCTTTGAACCAGCCAATCAGATGGTTAAATGTGATCCACGTGTTGGCAAATATATGGCGTGCTGTATGCTGTACAGAGGAGATGTTGTTCCAAAGGATGTGAATGCTGCAATCGCATCCATCAAAACCAAACGAGCAATACAGTTCGTCGATTGGTGTCCGACTGGATTTAAGGTTGGTATTAATTATCAACCACCGACCGTTGTACCAGGAGGTGATTTGGCAAAAGTTCCAAGAGCTCTGTGCATGCTTTCAAACACGACTGCCATCGCCGAAGCTTGGGCACGCCTAGATCATAAGTTTGACTTGATGTTTGCTAAACGCGCGTTTGTTCATTGGTATGTAAGTGAAGGAATGGAAGAAGGGGAGTTTAGTGAAGCACGTGAGGATTTAGCTGCTCTTGAAAAAGACTATGAGGAGGTGGGTATGGATTCTGTTGAACCAGAAGACCAAGCTCATGAAAGCGATTCTACTGATTAATTATTATAAAAAAACCCTACATAAAAAAATTAAGGAAAAAAACAAAAAAATACAAAACACAAAATATTACAAAAAAATTCCTGATAAAGGAGAAGGACAATATAAAACAAAAAAATGGCACCCTTTAATAAAAAAATTCAACACAAAGGAAAAAATTTGCAAGCTTAGTTTTTAGGTACAAAATTTTGATCTGGAAGACCAGGTCGTGAAAGTATATTGGATTTAGAAAAGCTCTGAACTGAGAACGACAAAATTAAAACTGTGGCCCTAAAATTTGAAACGAAAAAATATATAAATAAGAATATATATAAATATATATATATAAAGGAGAGTAAAAAGAAAAAATAAGAAATATGAAATTTACGAATCTTTAAAAATGATAATTTAAAAAGAAATGTGTGGATTGTGTCTTTTAATTGACCCCTAACTATGATTGAAATTTAGAAAAAAATATGTAAATATGTAAGAAAGAACCGGAACAAAACGAATGGATGTTAAAAAGAAAAAAAGAAAATGGAAGGAATGATTTTGATCAAACTTAACTTAACATATAACAAAAGGAAGTGAAAACAAGGACGTAAAATGAATGAAGAATCTGTAACGTAGTGAAGAAAGATTATTGAAAGTTAAAATTAAAAGAAAGATGATATAGACTTTGATTAATATATGATTATTAAAAATTATAAATAGTTAAATGATTGAATAATACTGATTAAAAGCTGAAAAAAACTTGGTGGCGTAAAACTAGTACAAAATTGAATGTGAAATCGGTGTCCCTGATGATATTGGCTCTGAAGAAACTAAAAACTGAGATGAATTAAAAAAAAAAACCATGCCCTAACCTCCTCTGACATGTCTTGTTTGTGTAAACTATATTTAAATGATGTGGAACCCCTGACAATTCGACTTAATCCATGAACAACTATTGATAAACTTAAACGTGATTGGATGCTCAAACGGTAGTAAAGGTCCAAGCTACTAAATTGTATTTGCTATAAATTAATGAACTTAGTCAAAAATTCTAATGTTAAAATGTCTTGTTAGTACTTGTCAAAACACTTTAGTCTAAAATTAATGCATTCTAAAAATATATGTGAACGAAATGTTATATATTGCCTTTTACTTATAACGATAAATGTATTGTAGATCATAAGCAAATTACATATATCTTATATCGAACCAAATTTTGAAAGTTCACATTGTTAACGTACCAAACTGTCCAAAAGGTATCACATTGCTCCAGAACCAAGAATTGTAATTATAAGTTGACTAAGTTCTCACCCTCATTTGGGTTCCTGGACGTAGGAATATCGTAGGGAACGAGAAAACCGACAGTTAAGCCTGCTCTGGTGCCTCCCTAGATGTGTCACTGGCGGTACCAGTTTATATTACCCTGGAGACCATTAAAAGAAGTACCTTCCTCTACTTTCTGCAACTTGTCAATAACAGACGGATTGTACTTAAAATAAATCCTCGGAACTCATCAAAAGAGACCGCGGGAATAAAATAATTTATTCTGTAGAATTTGGGATTTCCTTACAAGTGAAAAAATTTTGCCTAAAGATCTAATTTTGCAATTTATTTGTAAAAAATTTAGAGAACAAAATCAAGGTCAACAATAGTATAAGTATAACATAATAAATAGCACAACTATAAACAAATTTTGACCATACTTCTATTTCATATTATTGCTATTATAGTGAAGTGCCAATATGGATATGGAAGTAGATAATGATGTCGTTCCATATATACTTTGTACTTCTTAACTAACGCACTATTGACTTCCTTCAGATAATGGTTGGTGCATCTGGGTGCCGAGAATCTTGTAGATTTCATCATAGTGTTGTGTAATATTAAAAAGTCACGAATGCAGATATTTCAAATTTTGTAAATAAAATTTAAAAAAACATATATATTTGACAGTAAAAGGAAAAATACATAAATTAATATTTTTAATACAAATAATTTTATTTCAATAAAAAACTCTAGTCAAAATTGTGAAATTAGAAAATAATGTTTAATTCATATATCATATTTTGTTAATTTTCGATTTCAATGTGTCGACAGTGAGAAGTGTAGACATATGTACTATGTCTACCATAACCTTACCATCGCAACTCCACCGACAAAAAATCGATGGATCTTTATATAAAGATTTTATATAATGGATATCATATATAAATATCAGATACAAAAATATGTAACAAAGCCCAAAAAAGATGCTTAGCTTATGACTTGTGACATTGTCCGACATGGACACCGTGGAAGTTTATATTCCATATCCACATCTTTAAATTAACTACAAAAAAAATGTTAATATGATTAAATTCGTTAATTGTTTTTGTCAGACCTACATCAATTTTAGATGACTGTGAGTATTTCGCACTTCCCAACTAAGGACTATATTATTCAACGATTCTTAGTGCAAACAATGGTCTTTTAACAATTACTTGTTGAACATTTTTATGAGAAACTTAGGAATAAAAGGGAATTATTTAAATGAGGTCATTACTCCAATGAAGTTCTAGAATTTCAATTAATACACCATTTTCCACAAAAAAATTAAAATGTCATTACAATAAAATTAACTGCTGTACGAGAGTGTGTGTGTATACATATGACCACATCCTCGCTATCGATATATCATATTAAATGATGATCATTTTATAATGGGCCCTTTTTTCTTAATAAATATTATTTCTAAAACACTCTTAGGGAAGCAACTGCTGCATATACCCCATTGACTACATACATGTATTTCATATCAGCTACATTTTTTACCACTTTATGCGTGTTATAATAAAGACAAACTACCGATAACTTTAGGTAACCACCAATATTTTTACGACGTACCAAATATATATTTATGCTATTATTTGAAATATATCAGGGTTCGAATATATATCCTAAAATGAAGAAAAAATGGTTTTGCAATGGTATCAACTTTTTTAATTCATAATAGGCTGGTAACTACTTAGGTCTATGTTAATATATTTCCGGAAAGAAATTTACTTCGCGAGGTGCTTTCAAGAAATTTTCGAAATGATAAAAATAATTTTATACAGTTATAGAGTTATATTACATTAATAATGTATACACTTTAATGTAGTACTTCGACTTCGATTCTATAGATCTTTCGGTCATCAAGTACCCTCACTCTCCTTTAGCTATATGCCTGTTTACAGCTCTTATATTGATACATGGATATATCAAAGGATGCAAGGGATTTTCATTGGTAGTAAACAAAAATTTAAGATTTTTTTTGATCACATAAACTTCATGTTGTAAAGATTGCCTGTTGCAATATAAAACTCATTTATTAAGGTTTTGCCATACTCGTCATTTTATTCAATGGCTGTGATAATCGTTCGATAAACGATAAGCAAGATTATTGATAGTTCACAAGTATCGAATATGGAATATGCACCCACTTAAAAATCAAGGTGTATATCTGAGCACATAATTTTACAAAATTCATTATAGTCGGCACTCATTTTTCGGCTCTATTTATTTTCATTTCCTCTTGTGCCATTATTATTACAATGGACGCAATTGATACACAGGTAATTGATAGAAGCTGGCAATACTTTCAGCGGTAAGATAGAGTGTGGTAATATTTTTTCTTCGCTCAATATTGAGTTTTGTGCTTTGAAGAAATATTTCATATATGCTGACCTATGGTATATGGTATATTCTATTGAAAGAATGTCGCAAAGGACATAAAATAAACACTACTTTCGATGATAACTTTGGAGAAACTGGAATTTTTTTGTTTTGATATCTGACAGATTTATATATGCAAATACGCAAATACATATAACTTCTGCTCAAAAAGTATCAGGATTTTGTTGTTTGTTAACTACTCCTTAAGTAATAGACCTTTTTCAAAACCTTTTGAGCGCCATCTGTCAATTAGTTTGTTTTCAGCAGCTGTTAATGTGAAACTACCTCAAGTGCATTTAGCGATTTTTACTATGGAAAATTCTGGTTGTGAGCGATTTTTTGACCAAACACGGCACCACTGTCATCGCCCAGGCACCATATTCGCCAGATCTGGATCTGTGCGATTTTTTCCTGTTCCCGAAACTCAAATTGCCCCTTCTTGGTAAGCGTTTTGAGTCTATTGAATCGGTAAAAGGGAATTCGCTGAAGGAACTAAAAGGCATACCTTCACGGGCCTACGAAAAGTGTGTGGAAGTGTGTGTGTGGAAGATTGGGTTAAGCGTTGGCTTATGTGTATCGCTTCAGAAGGAGCATATTTTGAAGGAGATAAAATAAATTTGGAATAAAATTTAAATTTGTGTTGTATTTACAAAATTCGGGTATTTTTTGAACAGAATGCTAAACACGTGATAGAATTTAAAGTTGAAAATTCGAAAATTAATAAGTTTTCTTTGCAAGTATTGGTAAGAATATTTCATTTTCTACATGATTGTGGATAAAAGTTGTATTTTCAGGCTTTTTAAAATAATTAACAAAGGTGTAGGTTGACAGTTAACTAGAAATTTTGTACGTTCTTCCAAAAATCGTTCACAATTGACGAATTTTTAGACTTGGCAACCATGCGATTTGAGCTGCTTATTAATTAGGCGATTTCTTATTATTTATTTTAAAATGCATGGTTGCATTGAAAATTGCATTGTTGCATAAAAAATGAAGCAATAAAAAATTCATAATTATACATTATTTCAAACTTTCATTTCATTAAATTTTCATTAACAAACACAAATTTGAGAACTTCGAAAGATTATAGATAGGAAAAGATAATAATTTTTTTTATTGATATCTCTATATGTTTCCTACTACAAATTTGCATTTTTTTACTAAAAATTGCAACAGTACATCAAGTTTTCCTTAATATTTTCATCATGTAAGGATGATTGCTTAAGATTAATAATCAAACAATTTTCCCATCGGTCAATTTTTCTACACAATTTGTTAAAGAATGTGGCTTTATAAATATTTGTGCAAAATTCACATTTCCCCGATGGACAATTTCAAAAGAAAATTACCGGAGATGAAATATTTTTTGGTTCTTGCTACTTTTTTCTTGCTAACCTTTTACAAAATAATAAATTTTTTGTTATTATTATTTATATGTTTACTATATAAATACACACACACAGATGCTTATTGCGTATGTATGTGTGTATGTGTACTGCATACATAGTTAGTGTTAGTAAATGCAGAAAGGAATATTGAGGTATCCTGCAGTTTTGTTACATTTGCATTATTCATAAACACACACCTAACAATCATGCACACACACACACACACCACACACATACAGATACATGTCTTCATATATATATGTTCACTCACTTCCATACGCAGACAGGATGTTTAAAAAACACTTCCTGTCTGCATGTCGGAAGTGAATTTTACTACTGCATGTGCAGCAGCGTTGATATTGGTTCATTGTTGTTGCATTCCATTTTGAAAATATTTTCCTTCCTGATTTTTAAATGCATTTCTTGCACTCACACACAATCTTTCAAAAATAATTTATGCAAAATTCTATGTTCGAGTAATTTTGGTGTTTTTCATTTCACTTTGAATTTTCCCACTCGTCCTTTTCTTTTCCGATTTTTTTTTTTTATTTTTTTTTATTTTTTTTTGACAATTTCTATTTGTTTCCGTACAAAATTGCAAGTGACAGACACCTGCTGATATTCCGGCACTAAGAATAGACAAAATAATTTCAAAACATTTTCATTCTGAAAAATTTTAAATATAAATTCATTCATTCGATTTTTGTTAAGGAATTAGAAAACCAAAAAAAAAAGAAAATGGAAGAAGTAGAGGAGATTTTAAATCTACGTTGATTGAGCAATTTAATTCCCACAAGTTCTGCTTCAGCTGTCCTGTGTTGTCCTATCCTGTCCTGTCCTGTCCTGTCCTGTACTGTACTGTACTGTACTGTACTGTGCAAGTGGGGGTGCTTTCGTTTGGGACAGAAATAATTTGTCATTGATTGATGATGGAGCTGGTACGTACTAAGGACTGTGGCCACAAAGCATTGCAAAATGAAGCGCACGAAATGGAGTGAAAACCAAAAAGTGAATAAACTGTAAATCGTTTTTAAGTTTCAGTTAAAATGTAGAAAAATGTAGAAAAATGTGAAATGAAATGAAAATCAAACAAAAACTCCATTGAAAAATGACCAACGAACTCGAAACGAGACGTTAAATGGAAAACATTTTTTTAGATTTTAAAACAAAGAAATTATTTATAGTTTAATATCCTTTTTTATATTGGAAATATGAGTTTGAGTTTATTAAAAATAGTTATTATCTTTTGTCTTGCTTAATATAAAATCAATCATTTCAATAACTACTCTCAAACTATTTTATAAATTATATTAAATTTATTCTCTTGGATTTTAAATTAAATTTGGTTTAAATTTATAAGATATGACTACAAAAGATTCACAGTCTTAAAAAAAAAAGAAAATTATTTACGAATATTTAAATATAAGAACTAATTCCAAAACCATTGATGATGGGTGTTTCACACTATTCGAAACAACTGTATGGTCAGCCAAAAATTTAATTAACTAAAAATAGATAAAAATTTTGTTTACTACTGTTTTCACAACTTTTTTCTACACTCCTTTTTTTTACTTTTCACTAATATTCGAAAACACTCAATTATAAATAATTCATTTTCACGTTTTCTTAAATAAAATATACATAAATAAAAGTTTTGTTTACTACTGTTTTCACTACTTTTTACTACACTACTTTTTCTACTTTTCACTACTATTCGAAAACATTCAATTATAAATGATTCATTTTCAACTTTTCTTCCCAAGTCATATGTCGTATACTATTATTCAGTTTTACCAGACGTAAGAAGAGCAGATTTGTTATCGAGATTTAGATCAAATTGTTATTTTTAAATATTATAGCAATCAAATCATTCGGTACTGTCTATAATGTATCTTTAAAGTTTTATATTGGACATCTTAGGGTACTAGTGTTTTGTATAGTCATTCTCGAATACTTTTCGGCATAGAGCTGGCAATACCTGACTGACGAATATCGAGAATTTGATAACACACAATCATGATCTTGTATATAACACAAGTAATGTGATTATACACGTCTGAAAAATACACATCTGCTCGCGTAATAAAGCCAAACCAGGTCATATTATATGCTTATGGCACCATTCTGTTGAAACCATATACATTACATAATCGTAACTCAATTTCATGTCAATAAAGAACTGCTAGTTCTTCCGATATAATTTCACTTTATATATATGACAGTATATAGCTATATAGCATGAAGTAACTTTTGAAATTCCGAGATACCATAGAGACCCGGTTATTTGTCTAAATAGTTTATTTTGTACTCACTGATTTTTTTCGATATTCGAAGAGCAAGTCGAGCTCCATAGTTCAATGCCGTAAGACCAGTTGGATTTTGTAATTGAATTATAAGTTGGAAGCTTGTTTCTAAAGTTTAGTTTTCAATTTCCGTTAATTAGTCAGTAAAGTTGTTGTAATTTCAATTTTATTTGAGTCCTTTTATTCTTGATATGATAAGTTAGTGTCACTCCTCTATCATGTAATACTAAATATGAGAAAAAATTAACGTTTTATTAAATTATTCTGTTTATCTGCATTTTTTCCGGTAACAATGTATTAACAGTTAAATATACCTAGTATGTGTTATATGAGTCTTATATGTGATATTTAACTGTGTGTATAATTCTACATCAAACCATATACCTACGTATAATTATCAGCTGTATGTGTATAATCTGTTCAGTTTCAGAACTATGCAGTACTGATCACTATTGTAATTAAATCACTCTCAATTCCTAACTCCAAGGCATTTGGAATTACTAAAAAATTATTGGAAACTAGAATTGAGTTGCTAGTTTACAAGTGGCATTGGAATTGAAAATCCCAATTCCTAATTCCAAGTAATTCACAAAAGTAATTAAAACAAAAAAAAAGCCTCGGAACTTCTGAGCGTTTAAAAATTTGTTGGATTTTATATCATTCGTTGCTTCTTCTTCTTTTAATTAGTTTTGCAAATTACTTGAAATCAGGAATTGGGTTTTTCAATTCTAATTCCACATGTAATTTTACTACTTAATTCCCAATTCGAATTACCCCGTAACTGTAATTGATTTTGCACAACTTTGAAGCAGTGTGCATATATATTACTCTTCATCTTATTATGAGAATCGTATTTCAATTTTAAGTCCAAGGCTCTCAGCAATTGCCGATGCACAGTTTGACAAAATTAAAATTACACGATCGAAATTCGGTATTTTCTGAACTTAGAGAAATATTAAAAAGAAATTTTTCTAGAGAGGTTTTCGAATAGTAGTGAATTAAAACAACAAAAATTTATTTTATATTATTTTAATTAATTGAATTTTTGGCTGAACATACAGTTATTTCGAGTATAACCAAATTCCCATCATCAGTAGTCTTGGAGATAATTCTTGTATTTAATTATTCATAAATAATTTTTTGAGACTGCAAGTATCAGGAATCGAACTCGAGTCCTGCCAAATTTAAAGCTCAGAGTTAACGCACCTTAACCAACTGACCCACTGACAACTAGACTTATATCTTCATTATGTATTTTTCTTAAATAAAGTTTTTGAGATAAGCCTTGTTTTAAATACCAGCAAGTCCATTGAGTTTGAGTACTGAGTACTGATTCAGAAAGTACCGAATTTTGAACTTTTCATTTTGCCATGCTGTGTGACGCCTTAAGTCTTTACTAAATACTATATGTATTAATTTTATATTAAAATATTTAGTTACTAAATTAATATTATATTAAGTTAATAGTGTGTAAGATATAAGCCATCATATAATAACACAAAAAAATCAAAGCCAAGAATCAAATAAAATAGTAATAAAATTCATACATAAGAAAGAAAATCAAATACTAAACAAAAGTAATAAATGTTTATATAAAAAAAATAATAAATCAGGAACAACAAACAAATTTGGTAAATCAACATAAAAAGAGCAAAAATAAGTGTAAACAGTCCTTTCCCAAATTCACTCCGAATATCGTAATGCAATGCACCGCAGTACAAAGTATCAACAAAACAGAGTACACACAGCTCTTTTCCACTAAAATACACAGCAAGGATAATTATTTGGTTTGGGTTAGGACACCGGAGGGAATATAAATTGCTCACTTAAGAAAACATTGGGAAACAAAGAATATTTTGCTTTACACTTGAGCAATAATTCACGCTTTCTTTTTGTCATGTGCTTTGCTTTGTTCTGTGCTCATTTTCTCGTTATACGTTTCTCGCTTCTCGCTTCTCGTTACCCATTTCTCGTTACTCGTTGCCCGTTTTTCGTTAGTCATTTTTCGATGACCCACCAGTGTTGCCCTCCACAGCACTTTTAATGTGCGCTCGTATGTGCTTTGCTACGCATTTGATTTTATCTCGGTGCGTTTTTAGAAGGAGAAGCTAGACGAAGCTGGAATCTAACTTATGGAGCATTCAAAATAATTTCGCTTCTAAGTCGTGCATATATAAAAGGAAATCTTAACTTTAACACAAGTAGATATATGTATTTAGATACATAGTTAAAAGGCACAACCGACTATGTGTGTGTTAGTATCTATAAAAAAAGTGTTTGTATATAGCACTGTGTGCATTTATCTTCTATTAAAACTATTTTTGCTCCATTTGCGTACACTTTACAACCCTTTTATGTTTATTTCATATTCCTTTTTATACACATTTACTCAACTTTTTTGTGTATCTGTGCTTTATATCTATTTTATTATATTTTATTTCTTTAGAATATACGAAAGTGCACCGTGGTCGGTGGAAGCATGGGGACGTCCATTGGAAAGTTTTGCATTGGCAACAACAAGACTGGCTGGAGCGGGCAATAACTCATCTTTGAACGTAAGTTTTAAGTTTTAAGTGCTGCTGTGTTGTTTTGTATTGCAGCAGAAAGGGCAAGCAAGAAATTCACAAACTCTGAAAAGAATATCTAAAATTAAAATAAAAATTAAATAAGAAAATTAAAAAACGAGTTCAGAAATTTGAAATCCTTATTTAAAAGCGCTTTTAGTTTAAAAACTGAAAACTTCATACTTTAAAACTTTTTTGGTCTTTGTGTTCATTTTTTAATCAAAGAGGAAAGACATTTTCATTAGCAACTGCTAACGTTATCCTCACCGCCTGCCTGCTATGATTACACTACGTACTTCTCTTTAATTTAATGTTATAAATATATTTTTTTTCATGCTAATTTTTTGTTAACCTATTCTTTCCAATCTAGGGTCAACAGACCACTGTTTTTTGTGTGCGCTGCGGCACAACTCGTGGCGTTTTAGTATATTGGCTACGCTCCGAAACGCATCGTGATATGGCTGCTTGGGCACGTGCACTTGTGCAGGGTTCTCATAATGCCGTCAATTATCAGCGAGAATTTTCATTTCGCTGCCTCTACCAAGGACGGCAATGTCAATTGGTTGTGCATCTGAATCGTGGTTTTTGCTTATACGAGTGCGGATATGCGGCGCCAGCCCAGACCAAAACTCAATTGTGGCAATTTCCGTTTGACAAATTAAAGGGTTCGGCCGACGATGGTAATCGTATGTTGTTTTTGGACTTTGGCGATGATGGCGAAATTGTAAGTATTTAATATGCATAAAATTTTAACATTTTAATTATTGAATTTTTAATTAATTCATTTTAATGGTGTTCAGTCAACCATTTAGAAAATCTATAATTTGATTAGCAAATTTAACGTACGAATGCCTATAATGCAAACCTTGCATTATACGTTATGTTGTATTGCATTCGTAATACGGTTATTTAATTATATTGATACATATAATTAATTTAATTGACACATTTTACTATTTTAATGTCATTCGATTAACCAAACATTTTGTCTGAGGGCTGCCTCCCCTCGTTAAATCCTACTTCCAAAAAATTTACGTCACTCATACGCAACCGCGAGCAAAACAAATAAATTTGCTTTTATTCAATTTGGCTGTTCCATTAAGTAGTACAAACATTATAAAAGTATAATAAGTTACGACTTAATTAGAAAGAGTGCAAAATAGTGCAATTATTGATCAAATAAACACAATTTGATTATTCAGCTTTTTAACTATAGCCTTCGTATTTGTGCTATAAAAATAGATAGTCAAGTCTTAATTGTGAGGTATAAGTTTTGAATTAAATCCTTTAAATGTCATATCTTCAATCATGTTTTTTTAATAAAATTATAAAAAATTTAATTTGATTTTAACGTCCGTTTTGACGAAAGAACTAGATTCTTAATATAAACTATTGTTTTCAATAGAAAGATTTTTCAAATAGTATTAAATTTCAACAAAATTAGAAAAAAATTATTTTATATCACAGAAAATGTTTGGGAAAATTATTTGATTCTTTTATTTTATGCTTGGCTTTGATTTTTTTGTGTTCTTACGAGTAATATAATATTAATTTAGTAACTAAATATTTTAATATAAAATTAATACATATAGTATTGAGTAGAGACATAAGGCGTCACACAGCATGGCAAAATTAAAAGTTCAAAATTCGGTACTTTCTGAATCAGTAGGGATATCACAATGAAATTTTCTTTGGAAATAGTCTCTTAAATAGGGATTTCTTTTAAATGTATTTCAAACTCAATGGACTTAGTGGTTTATTCAAAAGAAGGCTTATCTCAAAAACTTTATTTAAGAAAAATACATAATAAACATAAAAGTCAAGTACGGCCTTGGGTCAGTTGGTTAAGGTGCGCTGACTCTGAGCTTTTAATATGGCTGGACACGAGGTCGATTCCGGTATTTACAGTCTTTAAACATTATTTACGAATAATTAAATACGAGAATTATTTCCAAGACCACTGATGCTACGTATTGGGCAATACTTTAAAAATGCATGGGCAGCCAACAATTCAATTAATTATAATAATAATATAAAAATGAATTTTTGTTGTTGTAGTTCCCTACTTTTCGAAAACCCTTTTTATATATATTTATATAACACTATGCAGTTTCTATTATTAAATTTTTTTTTGCCGAAAGTGAAGATTCTTATGAAGATTCTTAGAAACTATTTAAAAATTAGAAGGGTTCAAATAGAAATGAAAAGACAACAATATAGCTTTTATATATAGTACACAACAACATTGCGTAGCTTCTTTGTAAAATTGCACCTAAAATGGGCGCTTTACATATAGTAAGTAAAAATATGCATAATACTATGTCTCTGTAAAAAGAATTGCTTTGAAATAAAAATAGGTAACCTCAAAAATCAGCCTTCAATTCGTTGAACTTGTGCTTCCAAAAAAAGCTGTATAAGCTAGTTCTAATTTAAAGCATGGCAAGTGCTTTGATTGTGTCACTTAAAAAATGAAAAATAACAAAAAACTTGAAACTTGAACATTGAAAGTATGGGTAACCTTGGTTACTTGTGGAAAAACACGATTAGTCATCGCTAGTCCAAAAAAAAATATATACGAACTATAAACTAATTAAAAATAGATTCGAATATTTCCTAAGACGATTAATGATGAGTAGTTTGCAATACTCGAAATAGCGTTGTATGGTCAGTCAAATTTCAAAATAAATTAACTAAAATTTTTTGTTGTTATCTATTCATTTCTATTCGAACCCATCTAACTTTTAAAACACTTTTTGTTTTTTTAAAATAATAAGAATTACTTATTTTAAAAAATATCAAAAAGAATTTATTATTCCTACTTAAATAATTTATTAATTAACAATTTTTAATTACAACGAGGTCAATTTATTCGAAATAAATTATTAAATAATGTTTATTTATTTGATTTTGTTTAAAATTTAATTTTAATTAAAATTTAATTTTGATTAAAATTTAATTTTGATTAACATTTGATTTCATTTAAGTTTAGCTACGTTATCTATTTTTAAATGTATAGTTTTTAATTATTAATAACTTAATATTTGAGCTCTAGTCTTGAGTGACTAGAGATTTGGATAGGAAAATATTATTAAAAGAAATGTGTGAAAGTATATCAAAGGCAAAACCCTAAAATTGATCGATTCCTGTTTATTCATACGATACTTCAGCCTACGATCTCTTATTAAAATTCCAGTTATCTTCAGTTTCTCTATGTCAAATTTAAAGACAGCTAACAACAGCTTAGGTTTAAGGTTAGTATAAGCAGTTTAATATGTAATAAATAAATATTATTGCTCTAGTGTAGTCTTCATTATTCTCCTGCGACAGTCTTCATTTACAATAAGATATTATCTTCACCAATACCATATTGAATATACAAACAAAAATGCTGCACTTTTTCTGGTAAGTTAATCTGCATTTTTAAGACACAACTTCAACCAACTTTTATTACTACTCTACTACAAGGCAGCTCATTAGGTCAAAATACCTTGCCGGCTGACTAATTGTCAGTCAAGATTGCTATTATTTAGATCCGTTAGTTATAAGGCACATAAAAGTATACACAGTTACTGTTTATGATTTAGAGACGATAGTGTTAATGCCAAGCGATTTCAGCTGTCCTGTCCTGACCCATTTAAAACTGCCCTGACGCTTTCATCAATGAGTAACCCATTCCTATAGTATGTTGTCATATGATGGTACATTTCATAAAATTCACGAATGCTTCATGAAAATTTATGGCAACACTGCGCTATAATATAATAAATGAGTTGGCAGCACCTCACTATATTGAGTAGTTGGAATAAACACATAAACACAAATGTGGCGACAGACATAATTTCTTGTAAGTTCTTATTTTTTAACTTATAACATATTCTTATAAATGCCTAGAACAATTAAGTCATTTAGTTTTAAAGAAAGCACCGTAATAAAATATTCTTGTAGATTATTATAATTCAATCAAATTTAAAACAATTTATGAGAACGGGTTAGTTTTTAAGATAGAGAGGTGTTTCTAGTATTGAGAAATACCGAACATCAGTTGTCATTGGAAATATTTGCTAGGCTTTAATACTCAGAAATAATTTTTTTAAACTGCAAGTATCAAAGTTGTACTAAAACCTTGCCAAATTTAAAGTGCAGAGTTGTATTTGTAAACCAATGGACCTAGCACTATATCTGACTTATGCTGTTCTTACTTACAGTTTTATCAATTTTTTAAGTTTTCCAATAAATTTAACTACTTTCAATTATTTTTAGTAATTATTTAGTATAGTTTTAATAAATATGCTATGTAGATAAATTATATTCTTTTATCAAGCTTTATTTAACAACAAAATACAATTACATTAAGACCGAAAAGTTTTCGGAAATTCTCATTTAAAATTCGCGCGCTGTATATTTTTCGATATTTTAAGTTTATGTAGTTTGGCAGCAATTAAGGAAAATTACTATGCCAAAAATGAGCGCGATCTGTCAGACAGTTCGTTTACGGCAGCTGTTGAAACCAGTTCACCTCAGTAGTGCGTTGCGAAAAAAACAATGGAAAAAAATATTGAACAAAGAGTTTGCATCAAATTTTGTGTTTCGAACGAAATTTCGTGTGCAGAATCGTTGCGAATGCTACAAAAGGCTTATGGGGAATCAGTTTTATCGAAAACTCAAGTTTATGAGTGGTACAAAGCCTTTCAGGACGGTCGTACGACCGTCGAAGACATTTCGCAACGCACTACTGAGGTGAACTGGTTTCAACAGCTGCCGTAAACGAACTGTCTGACAGATCGCGCTCATTTTTGGCATAGTAATTAAGGACAGTGCTGCCAAACTACATAAACTTAAAATATCGAAAAATATACAGCGCGCGAATTTTAAATGAGAATTTCCGAAAACTTTTCAGTCTTAATGTATATAAGAGACAACAAAATACCTTCAATAGTATATACAGACTGCTTCTCTCAACATTGAAAACAAGCATATATTATATATATGTAGTAACATAGAGTATTTTTTTCTTATAACAAATGAAATGATAACATAATTTCAGTAAATGATTACATATCAATATGGACGATTATTAACAAGTATGCAAAATGTTTATCTTGTGGGTAAATGAAAGACAGAGAAAAGTATATTCAAATACCTCGCGATATTAGTTAATAATACAGAATGATATTACCCTTTTTTTCCAAAAGAAGGGTTGGGAAGTAGTCACCGTGTCACTGCATCCTCGAGGATTATTGTGACATACCCACTTCAGTTCCATAGACGAGTAGCAGTTAAGAATGCCAGTATGTCCTTTGGAGAGATGTTGCCTAATTCCGTTATAAGCGGATCTGAGTCTTGCAAGACTATCACAGTGACACAATATGTGTTCTGCTGTTTCCTCTTCTTCGTAACAAAGTCTACAGCTATCGTCTCCAGTAATACCTAGATTCAACAAATGTTTTTTAACTCCGCAATGTCCAGTTAGAAAACCTGTGTCAAGTCGGATGCCACTTCTGTTCAGCATAAGTAGCTCCCTAGTTCTGGCTTTTGATCGAAACGGCATGGATTCTTTTGCTTGTCTGCAGGTAATTGTATTATCCCAATCATTCTGAGCTGCTCTTTCCAGCCATTTCATTATTACCCTTATTGCAAATGTAGTATATTTTTGTACTTAAAAAACTTCCTACATTTTGGTGTTGCATACTTAATTTTTTTGAAACTCGTAAATGTTAAAAGCTGTATTAATTTTAAAACTTTTGAAAAAAATTTATTTACAAATATTTTTTGGAAAAAACTTCTTGTCCATAATTGACTATATTCTTACAACAGGTCTCTGAATTGAGTTATCTACTACTATTTTCTAATTTTTTATTCAGAACCAGTTCTGTTTAATTCGTTTCACAAAATAATTTTATTTTATACTTTATATTTTTAATGTGTTCTTATACTGAAACCTTTTAAAAGAAAATAATAGTTGAGAAAAAAATTCCATCGATCCCATTAAAACAATTAAAACATTTCATGCTTTCACAAAACCCTGGAGCAGAGGAAAAGCAGTGCAAAATTGCCATTTTAATTGTTATCGTAACTGTCATTATAAATCTTAATACTTTGCGTATTTAAAATAATAAAGAAAAGTCGTCAACAATTTCCTTTTTTGCCTTTCAATCAATTTTCATTATTTCTGAATTAACCCTTCATTTCATTAAAGTATAATTAAATTTTAATTTGACGCTGCGTAATAAATTTCTTTACACTTTCAGTTTTTCGCTATTTATTTATTTAAAGAGCAGTTTTTTTCTTCTTCTTCTTGACAATTTCACGCCTTCACCATAAAACCTTGAGCAGCTCAAGGGTTGCCTTTAAACATGTCAGTGTCATAATCAATAAACCGCCTTTTTACGCTTGCTTACATTTACTGCTCGCAATGGTACCCTGGCGTAGTCTTCTAAATCAATTCACGCCTCCTGCCACCCACCTACTCGTTCATGTAATAAATATACTTGTTATGACCTGTTTCTTTACTCTTTGCAAATGTTATCAAGGTATCAAGGTGCTCTCCAATGGCTTTTTTTATATTTTTTTATTATTTAGTTTATTTTTGTATTTGTTTTTGTTATTTTTTTGTTTTACCTTTATTTTTTATTTTAAAGGAAAATAGCAGAATATAATTTTGTTGCCACTGAAAATGGTTTGCTGCTATTGCTTTATTATGATTGCTGCCGTTACTCTTGTTGTATTTGTTGCTGCTGTTGTTATTATTGTTGTTGTTGTTACTTTTGCACACGCAACAATACTTTAATTAAACTACCTTTTTGCTGAAATTTATTACGTTCGTTAACGGTGTTTAACAGTCAAGAGTGCATCAAATGTTCTTATTGCCATTTATTTTTTTTTTTGTTTGCTTTTTTTTATTTGATTTTTATTTTATTTTAAACTTTTCTATTGTGCACTGTCTAACAAAGTTAGCAGGCATTTTAGGGTATCGTTCGCACTGATAACCCCTTCTTTGTGAATATATCTCAAAATAAAGGTTTTGAGTCAATTATATTAGTTAAGTTCATTAAGAAGTAGATTCTTTATTATGTTTATTAATTTTTCTTACTTTTTTGAGTTGTGTTTTTTTAAAGAATAGATGTGAAAGTAGTACAATAACTGTACTTCATAATTTTAAATTAAATATCATTCTCTAAACAAATTCATTGTAACTTAATGTTAATTAATGTTATTTAGACCTCAAAATAACATTACTTTATACCAGCTATAAACACGCAGGGACACCAATTTGTTCATTTGTCTGAGTTTGCTATTCGATGTTCGTCAACTCGTCACTCCCTGAAAATCAGAACCCGGAATAAAACAGCAATGCGCGGCATATAACAGTTTTTGCATATTTATTATTTTTTTTTTATGCCATTTGCTATGAGTACGCATATTAAAAATTATTATAAATATGAGTAGGCAAGCAAAGCATGATATGCAATATTTAAACAGCAATGATTAACGACAAGCACTAAGGTATTATACCGACAATGTACCATTTGATGAATTTTTCGTTTTGCTAATGTTGAATTTGGAGACGAAGACAACGAGTTTTATGTTTCTTATAGATGTTGTGGTTTAGCTCTTTTGTTAGACTTTCAAAATAATCAAGGCTCTATAATATGTATGTGTCTAACACTTTTAATGAACCTTTTTATGTCGAGAGTTAGCCCGACGGATTCACGGTTCAGTCCTACAGTAAATTTATTTGTACCGAGCAATGGACGGCAGAGGCTCTTTACATTTGATGGATTTGTGACAGAAATGTGAATCTCTTCTTCAGTAATCTCTGCTGAAGACGAAATGCAAATTTCTTTCTTGTGCTTAGGCAGCACTAGAGAGAGGATGTGATTCTTGGCTTCCCAGTCTTGATTGCATTTTTGTTGCGTCTTTCATACTGAAGAAATGCAACATTGTTCGTGATTTTTACGGAATTTTATTTACTATTATGAAGTATTAACTTTGTTATTGTTATAATTCAATTTTTTTTTCTATTGATTATAATTTTTTTTGTTTATTAATTTTATCTATATTAATTGAAATTTTTATTTTGCAAGAAAATTTTTCATTAAAACACATATGTTTAATAATTATAATTTAATATTAAGTAATTAAATAGTATTTACATTTGAAATATTGCTACTATTTTTATCAAAGTTAGTATGCACTTATAAAAGGAGATAGTAATCGTTACAGAGTGTAAGCCCCCATTCCCTGTTTAATTTAATAAGAAGCTCGGAGGAAATTTAGGGTAAAGATATTATTTATAATCCTGATTAACCATAATTTTAAAACACTTCTGAGACATATATTAGCATCCATTACTTTATGGCCAAATATGTGGTAACTAATTATTGATGTTTTATGATGTTCATAATATTTTATTTGACATATTCTTGATCATATATGTATTCAACATATGTTAGCTGTCAAGACTTCAGATTGGACAACCAAGACTATGATTTCTCATTTGCTTCTATTATGACAAGCAATCTTTTTAACTGTATATTAGTGTCCCGATTATAACATGTATCAACCTAACGTTAATACGTTTGATCTCCAATTTTCCTAAACGTATTTTTTTTTATATAAATTTTAACTTCCGTTTCTGTAAATATGGCTCCTCACTGGATGAGGGTATTTTGATGATTTTTTATAGTTGTCAACATCGGTACAATGATGTAATTTCAAAACTGTAATCTCAAAACTAGATACATTGCAACTAATCGAGATTAAACAACTGATTTTAAATTTATGTAGCCATTTACATATAATACGAGTCTATCATCTTCTTTTTGAAAAAATCAAATCATGTTTGTGACGTTGGAGCCTAGAAGCTGCTTAGTGCAAACACAGCCTAATTCTGTACTCTTAATATGGTCTTGACAACGGTGAAATCTAGCTTAAACTAGATTAGCGATAATAACGCTTTTTACTATATTGTGAAAGATTATATATATATCTAAGTTTATTTAAGTGCATATAAAGAAATCATTTTTTTTTACGATATATTATTATTGTTAAAGGATGTGGCATTGCGACCGTCGGGTCTATTGTGCCCACTCCTGGGCTTAGAGTAGGTCTTTAAGCCCTGCTGCGTCAATAAAAAGTAGTATAAAACCTACTTTACAGAGTTTTGTTGCTTCTTCCGTAAGGATATACCTAGGAGTCTATTTCGTATGTGCATTAGCGCAGGGCATTCTAAAAGCATATGTGTGGCCGACTTCTCATTCTCTTCACAGAATCTACTGTTTGAATCCGTAAATATTTCCAGTTTTGTGAGGTGGTGTTTGCCCTGTTAGGATTCCTATGATGATTTTTTAAGTTTTTTTTTTTAGTTTTTCTTTTGATAGGTTCATACAATCCTGGTATCTCTTGGTGTTATAGGTACCAATAACTGATTTGGATTGTTTTTATCCTGTTATATTATTCCAGTAGTCCTTTTTATTCTGATTGTCGTTTATTTTTATGAGATTTGTACAATATAAATATTCTAAATATTTTTTAATTAAACTTTCAGATTATCTTTAAATTAATTAAAATTTATAGAGTGAACTAGTAATCAGTGTAATTCAGCTAATAGTAAAGAAATAATTTTTCCAATCTATTTTGAACCCCTTTGTCTCTAAGGCAAAACAGAACTTCTTATTTTTACATTAAAGTATTTCTTTAATTTCCTGAATAACTTGCTTTTTATTCCCAACTGTCATGTCTACATGTCTAGTTTCTACAAATTGATTTTCACTTTGACATAATAAAGTATTAAGCGATGTAAAGAAACATGTTGTGAGATATGTTGATGACACTTCGGAATTAAAAATTTTAAATTAAATACAAAACAAATAAAAAAAACTCAAAAAAGTTAACAACTTTATCCAGTTAATTAATGTAATTCTTTTGTAACATTCTTTTTTTTTCGTTTCAGGAACTGGACATGGAATGCTGCCCCAAGCCAGTCGTATTTGTGGTGCACAACTGTCTTTCCGCCAAGGTGCACTCAATTACTTAAATGAAGAAATGAAATGATGAAGAAGTGAAATGATGAAGAAATGAAATCATGAAGAATTGTAGAAGTCAAGACATTGAACATTGAAAGTAAAATTAAGCATGAAAAGTGAAAAGTGTAGTAAAAGTTTTTTTGTAATTTCATACTTTTGAAAATATAAAATAATTAGTAACTTACATATAAATTATTATATAAGGAATAAATGTAGTTTGAAATATACATAATGTAGTATATGAAAAAAAATAAATAAAAACAAAATACAATTATAATTTAAAGAACAAAGCCAAAGTGCTTCCTCTTGTTCTAACTACAAAAAAAAAACAACAAATAAATATACATATATCTACACTTACCCTGTATATGACTGTCTCTTCAAAACATTTTTCATATAATAATATTTTCTTATTGATCCAGCTAAGAAAAAAAAAACAAAATAAGATAAAATTTATTTAACAACTCAAATTTTATGATGAAAAAAAAAATTCTTTCAAAAAAGCGAAAAAATTTCGAAATGAATGTTTTATGATAATAAAATGAACTCAATTAATATATTATATATAAATGATTTAATTAAATGTACTGCTAAAAACTTACATATCTGTCAGACGCATAATTAAATTTAATAATAAAAAAAATGAAAAAATTTACAAAAATTACATGCAAAAAACAACAATGAATTTTTATAATTAATTTCGATATTAAAACAAAAAACAAAAAAATAAAAAATTTCTTTATTATAAGCCTAATTGAAATTTACGACTACGAATGAATATGAAAAGTTATTCAATATAATCTAATTATATTTAATAAATTATTTAATAAATTTTCTTTTTTGTTATAAACTCCTAAGTGTAAGTAGTGTTGAAAACTCAAATGATGATGTGCAATAATTATAGTAAAAACTCAATAAAAACAAAATTATTAAATATATGCATTTTTAATTTATTAATTAATTATTTTAATATTAACATTCTCCAGAGGTGGGAAACCATTTAAATATGTAATAAAGATACAAGTGATATTTTTGTGTGGGTGCTAAACACACACTTGAAAATGACCCAGTTTTTCAGAGAATTTCAATTTTTAATTTAATTGCTTATAATATAGTAACACTCATATTACAAAAAAAAAAAATCATATTAAGTCCTGTCCCCATGAGAGAAAGTTCCAATTCGTACCAATAAACAATCCATGGAAATTTAAATAATACTTTTAATTTAGAAAAAAGTATAAGAGAGATTACTAAGAGAATTCAAAATGCAAGATCATCTTCTCATCGATCTCGTTCTATCTATCGCCATAACTAATTTGATCTACTCACAACATTTAGGGCTAGCATTCGAAAACGTTATCGTTTAAGACAGCTAGGTCTCAGAACGGGTGATGCAGGTAAGTTAATGGAAGCTAATAGGTCAACAAATTTAATCACAAAAATTATATATCAGTTCCAAAATCAAAAATGTGATGATTTTCTAAATAATATTGAGACTGATGGCAATGCTTTTTGGAGATCAAGCAAATACATCCGATTAAATGTAAATTCTGTTGCATTTAGCGGTTGGTGTTACACTAAACAGAAAAAAATAGAATGTTTTGCAAAGTCTAGAGATTTTCTAAAACAGTTAAAAATGCATAAAATGAGAAGGAAAATAATAGAATGGTAACTGATATTCTATCAATAAGATTCAAGTTGAAACCCTCCCTTTAAAAAATATGGAAGAAATCTGAATTCGTAATTATTCAGAAAAAAAGCAAATATCCTGGACTAGCCGAAACAATAACATGTGTTTGAAAAACCTTTTGTAGTCAGTAATAACATGAATCAAACACGTCATTATTACAGTACCCTCTTTGGATGACCTACCTCAAATCTGGAAAACTGCAGTCATAGTAGTTTTTCCGAAGCATGGAAAAGACATTTCTTTGTTTGAAAATTAAAGACATCTTAGTTTGCTGCTTGCTATAGTTAAAGTGGCAGAAAGAATAGTACTAGCAAGACTCTAAAATAAAAGTAGAATTTAAGATATAATTCCCTAAGAAAAGTTCGAGTTCCAAAAAATCTTTCCACTAAATTCAAGCTACCAAATAGAATGGGAGGACAATGGTAAATACTTAGCTCAAACTTTCAACAGAAGATACACTTGGTTAGAGAATATAAGGGTTAAGAAGTTGGCTTGTAATATGACTCTGTATGATCTAAAACCATTAACACAAGGAAAGTTGATTACAAAAACAAAATTTTGAGACTCTAGCTCAAAAATAAAATTCTGAGATGCTAAGAGCTCTATGGTACATCAAAACTGAAGACATATACAAAGTTTTGAGAGTCTTTCGAGTGTGTCGAAAGTCAAGAGTATGCAAAAGTATATAAATTACAGGGTCCTCAAATTGTTCGATTCTGTGTATACCTACGCCAATTCAGATTTGCACTCTTTCAGGTCAAATGCAATATAACCAGGAGAAATTGCTGAGCTTTAATCCATACTTCTATAAAATCATATGCATAACTTGTTATCAGAATTCTTCTAAAAGCAACTGCTCATTCCATATACTTTCTAATGACGTTTTCTAACTTTAATTTATTTCAATATAAATCGGCTTTTTGCTGCTATCCTTCATTGTAAGACTTTTATTATATAAATTAAATTGAATTGAATAAAAAAATTAAAATATTTATAAAATTTATATAATTAAAAATAAATTTGTAGAGCTAAACTCTTTACATTGCATTTATTGCATAGATTGACCATTTCATACTTACTCTTTGGTATTAAATACCACTTCCCATGTTCCTTTACATAATTTGTAATCAATTATTTGCTATCATTAATTAATTAGTTTAATTAATTAACACTAGATATTTTACATAGTTTAAAGACGTTGTCTAATAACCAAATGCATTTACTACAAATCTTGTTAAGCAAAATCTACTCAACAAATAAGAAAATAAATGGATTGTTCAATTTGCTCTGACATTAGGAAAGCACATATTTCAAACATTATTATAGCACTTCAGTTACACTTATTCCTCATACTAATTAGTCATACTTAATTGAAATTAATTAAATGGCAAACCGCTCAAATTCTCTCAAGGTAGAACACAAAACGGGATAGCCCAGCATCTAATTGTGCCTTTTTACCCCTCTGTGGCGAGAGGAAAATTAATTAACACAATTGCTCAATACCCAAATTATCATTAAATATTTAACATTATGCAAAAATAATTATTATTTAAAATTAAAATGGCAATAATAATAAATTTTTTATAAATTACAAATATTTGCAAATAATTCAATGAAATAAATATTTTCAGGAATAAATAAATATAAAACAATTCCTTTAGAGATTAGAAAAAATTTATCTATTTTCATTATTTTGAGTGGTTATTATTAATTGCTATTATAATTACTTAATTCCTGTTAGTTTTAATGGTCATTATTAATTAATTCATTAATTATTTCATAAATTTTACAATAATAATAATATTAAGAGAAAAATGGTTACCGATAAAAGTGTTTGCGATAAAATCGAACAAAAATGAATGCTTCTCAATAAATCTGTGGAGTTAACCTTAGTTAGCGGACTACGAGAGCTACTAAATAAGTAAGTTGCTGGAACTCATTATAAGTGAGATATCACATGAATTCATTATTTAAAAACCACAATATTGAATGAATTAATTGTTGTTCGGTTACGAGGGCAAAACACTAAGTTATTATAAAAATCATCCTCAATACCCCCGCACAGTGGTGTAATGAGAAAAAAGGTTTTACGGTTCAAATCTTCTTAAAAGAAACGTGAACCCCCTCCGCAACATATTAAACACCATTGTAGGCTAAATTTAAATATTTTTTTCCAACTGTATGTATTAGTATGAAATTTGAATAACTTTTGCTCCTTTAAATGAGTCTCTGTACACACCCATATACCTACTCGCAATGGGGTGTATGATTACTATTCGACCAAAAGTATCTTCTAACATAGTTTGTCATTATCAAAATTCAAGGAGAATTGAAATAGTTGCCTTTGTATGAACGATTAAAGACAAAAGCTAAATCTTGCCTTGATAACTGCCACTCATACTAATTACCTTGAACCCTGAATCTTCAAATCATATCTAATAATCATATCATATCTAATTTTTATCAATGGATTTAAAATATAAAAACATTATACATCTAATTGAAAATGTTCCGAAATATTTTATGGGTATCTGAACCCACTCTGGGTATCTGAACCCAATCCCTCTCTGGTGTACGTCACTAAAACAAAAAAATGTGATATATGGTGTTGTTTCTAGATTGATAACATGTTTAGGTCGTTCATCTAGAAACCTTAAAAAAAATCTGAGTAGCATCCCGAAATTAGTTATCTGGAAAAATTTTTTTTTCCTATATGAGTATTCACTCATATGCTATAAAAGACATTTAATTTTAGAAAGCCCATGTGACTTATTATAGTGTAAGCGAAATCATCAAGTAAATAAAATACATCTACGTTGATTACAAAGTAGAGTTATGGCGTAACCTCTTAGAACGTGTTTTGTTTTACTGCCAGAAGACCATGTTTTCTGAAATATTTTTAAATTATTGTCGATAATCATTCTAGCATATATCATTCGTGAGATACAACGTTAAATATTCGAAAACATTATGGAAAAACTTTAGAATATTATGTTTAGTTATTGTGAGATACAGCCTTAAATATTCAAAAACTTTGTGAAAAAAAAAATTGAGCTACAAAGAGTTCTTAAAATATTTCCTTAGTAAAATCATTAATCTTTACATCTAAATAAATTTTTATTTGGAATATAATTTTCCTCAAATTATATATGTTTTTATTGAACTTGATATGCTAAATCTGTTTAAAAATAAATAATTTATTTGATAAAAATCCAATAATTTTCATTTTCCCGACAAATTCATTGCAATAACATTTGTGTTCACCACATAAATTTTTTTTCAATTGAAAAAATATTTAAAAATAAACAAAATGAGGAAAAAAGCGTTCAACCTACAATGCTCAAGATACGCTCTTGCTGATTACTTGATTAATCGAACGATCGAATGAACTAGCGAACGATCATCGACCACAAAATAATTATCGCGATCGCTAGCAACAACA